TTTAAAAACAAATTATATATTTAGTATTTGTAGAAAAATGTCTGTTTTACATAAGAATATCTTGAAAAAATATCTAAAAATAAAAAATTCAAAAATTGACCAAAAACAAATTCACTTCCGGTTCGGACAGGAAGTACTGGAAACACACGAAAACAACTTCAAAACAAATAGAATATCATGATCTAATACTCCTGTAAATTTCATATCTTTACCTCAAACCGTTTCCGAAAAAACTGCTGGACAAAAGTCCATTTAAAAATTCGAAAATCGGCCATAACTTCGGACCGGAAGTGAATTTTTCAAAAAACGGAATTTTATATAAACTTCATATATCAACCTACTTACATGAGAAAAATTGTGAAAATCTATCCAGCCATCTCTGAGTAATCGCGCTCACAAAATTTGGGAGGAATAATAATAATAATAATAATAATAATAATAAAAAGAAACAATACAAACACTATAAGTCTTCCGTTGTGAACGGAAGACTTAATAAGAAACAGAGTAAAAACAATATGTTCCCCAACTTCGTTTGGGGAACATAATAATAATAAGAAACAGAGTAAAAACAATATGTTCCCCAACTTCGTTTGGGGAACATAATAATCTACATACTGTAAATATAAGGCTTTTTTTACTAAAGTATAAACATTATTACTCTTTTGTATTTATTTGTTTCTTTTTTTAACATTGCATAATTTGCTATTTCTTATTTTAAAGATATTGATTAAAAAACCAGAAGTCTCTGTCGAGACTGTAGCTCTACTGGTTTGTACTTATCAAAAACCATTGCACTATTTTATGTATCTTTGTGTAGTCTACATGTGTGCCAACTAATTTTGAAATCAAACTAAAACTGTAGAAGGAGTAGCGTTTTAAAAGAATTTCACAGAAAATTCTATTTTTAGTAACCATGGTAACACCGTTCATCGAAATCAAAAACCGATGCACTATTCTATGTATCTTAGTGTAGTCTACTTGTGTGCCAAGTTAAATTGAAATCAAACCAAAACTGTAGAATGAGTAGCGTTTTAAAGGAATTTCTCAGAAAATTCTATTTTTAGTAACCATGGCAACACCGTTCATCGAAATCAAAAACCGATGCACTATTCTATGTATCTTAGTGTAGTCTACATGTGTGCCAAGTTATATTGTAATCAGACCAAAACTGTAGAAGGAGTAGCGTTTTAAAGGAATTTCACAGAAAATTCTATTTTTAGTAACCATGGCAACACCGTTCATCGAAATCAAAAACCGATGCACTATTCTATGTATCTTAGTGTAGTCTACTTGTGTGCCATGTTATATTGAAATCAGACCAAAAGTGTAGAAAGAGTAGCATTTTTCAGGAGTTTCACAGAAAATTCTATTTTTAGTAACCATGGCAACACCGTTCATCGAAATCAAAAACCGATGCACTATTCTATGTATCTTAGTGTAGTCTACATGTGTGCCAAGTTAAGTTGAAATCAGACCAAAACTGTAGAATGAGTAGCGTTTTAAAGGAATTTCACAGAAAATTCTATTTTTAGTAACCATGGCAACACCGTTCATCGAAATCAAAAACCGATGCACTATTCTATGTATCTTAGTGTAGTCTACTTGTGTGCCATGTTATATTGAAATCAGACCAAAAGTGTAGAAAGAGTAGCATTTTTCATGAGTTTCACAGAAAATTCTATTTTTAGTAACCATGGCAACACCGTTCATCGAAATCAAAAACCGATGCACTATTCTTTGTATCTTAGTGTAGTCTACTTGTGTGCCAAGTTATATTGAAATCAGACCAAAACTGTAGAAGGAGTAGCGTTTTTAAGGAATTTCACAGAAAATTCTATTTTTAGTCACCATGGCAACACTGTTCATAGAAATTAAAAACCGATGCACTATTCTATGTATCTTAGTGTAGTCTACTTGTGTGCCAAGTAATACTGAAATCAGACTAAAATTGTAGGAGGAGTAGCGTTTTGAAAAATTGTTTACAGACAGACGGACAGACAGACAGACAGACAGACAGACAGACGGACGGACGCCGGACGCATTACTATCGCATAAGCTCTTCTGGTCTCTGACCAGTAGAGCTAATTACCCAGCTTGATAAGCAACATGTCATTTTCATTAGACATAATCCATAAAAATTTTTCTTTATTTGTTAAAGTATAGAAATTTTTATTACTTTTAGCAATAATACTTTATTTTAAGCTTAATGATCTTTGAAATAAATAAGAAAGCTGTCAAACATTTTACATTGAAGACAAAACTAAAAAAACTCTTGTCATCCTAAAAATTAATTGGTATATACAAAACATGATCTGACTCGACAATTTTTTACCCCTCCCCTTTCTAGAATCAAATGACCGTCTTCTGAAAAACTGTCTTTTATGACTTTTAACAGTGTCCTAGGATTATATTATAGGCTAATAAACTCATATCAATATAAATTTCAACCAACATGTATTTGGGAATTGAAATATTTGTCTTTTGGATCATACGTTCACACTTTGCTTTTGAAAACAGCTCAGGTGGATTGAAAATTAATTTCAAACTCGAATTTCAGTCCAATGTTTTCCCCGCGTCCGCGTCGAATTGTACCCGGCCATTTCATTGTCTATCATTGAATGTTTTTGATTGTAACAGATAGAAATGAAGTAAGCTGCATATTTCCAATCTTGCCAGTTAATGTTCCGTGGTCTTATATACGCAACAACAGTTGACCTTATTAGGCAAAAAGACAAAATCATAATAACAAGCAAATTCAAAGAATTGTGGTCCCCCGCTTTCGGTGTCTTTTTGGGTGAGATGTCATTTTTTATGACATTTTGTTTCTAATATGAACGCTCTATCATAAGTCATCTATTTACAAATTATCACTGAACTCCAAGGTCAAGGTCAAAGGGTTAATGTTCTTGGTATCCAATGAAAAGTCTTTTTAAAAGGATTACATATATGTGAAGTATGAAAGCCCTAGCCCTTACCATTCAAAAGTCATGATCAAGGTTAAAGTTTTCTCATAAGTACAAAAAATCTCCAAGGTCAAAAGGTCAATGTTGTTGATATCAAATGAAAGGTCTTGCCACAAAGAATACGTATGTGAAATATGAAAGTCCTGGTATCTACTGTTCAAAAGTTGTGGCCAAGGTCAAAGTTTTTGAAAAGTAGGTCAAATCCAAGGTCAAGGTCCAAGGGGCAAAGTTCTTGGTATTCAATGAAAGGTGTTCTCAGAAGAATTATATATATATGAAGTATGAAAGCCCTAGGCCTTGACATTCAAAAGTTATGGTCAAAGTTAAATTTTTTTCATAAGTACGGAAATCTCCAAGGTCAAGGTCAAAAGGTCAAGTTGTTGGTATCCAATAAAAGGTCTTGCTACAAAAAATATATATGTGAAATATTAAAGTCCTAGTACCTACCATTCAAAAGTTATGGCCTAAATAAAAATATGGCATTTTGTGTAAAAGTGGGTCAAACTCCAAGGTCAAGGTCAAAAGGTCAAATTTGGTGTTACCCAAAGAAAGGTCTTGTCACAAGGAATACACATATGAAATATGAAAGTCATAGCTCCACTAAATCAAAAGTTATGGGCAAGGTTAAAGTTTTTGTGACGGACGGACAGACTGACGGACAGACAGACGGACGGACAGACGAATGAGATTTAATGTCCCCTCGCTTTCGCGAAAGCGGCGGACAAAAAAAGGATAATAGTTTCTACCGTTCAAAAGTTGTGACCAAGGTTAACGTTTTTAAAAAGTAGTTAAAACTCCAAGGTCAAGGTCAAAGGGTCAAAGTTCTTGGCATGCAATGAAAGGTCTTCTCACAAGGATTACATACGTGAAGTACGAAAGCCCTAGCCCTTACCGTTTAAAAGTTATGGTCAAGGTTAAAGTTTTTTCAGAAGTACGTAAATCTCCAAGGTCAAGGTCCAAAGGTCAAAGTTGTTGGTATCCAATGAAAGGTGTTGCCTCAAAGAATACATGTGTGAAATATAAAAGTCCTTGTATCTACCGTTCAAAAGTTGTGACCAAGGTTATAATTTTTAAAAAGTAGTTAAAACTCCAAGGTCAAGGTCAAAAGGTCAAAGTTCTTGGTATCCAATAAAAGGTCTTCTTATAAGAATAAAATATATGAAGTATAAAAGCCGTAGCCCTTACCATTCAAAAATTATGGTCAAGGATATATTTTTTTCATAAGTACGTAAATTTCCAAGGTCAAGGTCAAAAGGTCAAAGTTGTTGGTATTCATTGAAAGGTCTTGTCACAAAGAATAAATATGTGAAATATGAAAGTCCTAGTACCTACCATTCAAAAGTTATGGCTAAAGTAAAAGTTTGGAATTTTTTAGTAAAAGTAGTTGAAACTCCAAGGTCAAGGTCAAAAGGTCAAATTTGGTGGTACCCAAAGAAAGGTCTTATCACAAGGAATACACATATGAAATATGAAAATTTTAGCTCCACTAAATCAAAAGTTATGGGCAAGGTTAAAGTTTTTGTGACGGACGGACAGACTGACGGACCGACGGACAGACAGACGGACCGACGGACAGACGAATGAGATTTAATGTCCCCTCGCTTTCGCGAAAGCGGGGGACAATAAAACATAAATGACATGTACAAAAACATGGGCGGATACAGGATTTGTGATGGGGGTTGATGGTGGATAATTCCGTTCAGGCAGGGGTCACCTTAAGGCCCCCAGTGGCAAAGCACCCGTAAGCTCCGTGGTTTTCACGTATTTTAAGAGTAAAACCAGGCACAAAAATACTTTTAAAATACCTAGTAGTGTTTGTTATATTTATTTACCAAAGTATGGCATATGTATTATGAATATTAGTCATTATCATACTTTGATAATTTTAAATCCGCCAGTGAAAACACATAAATAAAATATTAAGTAAATGAAATAGAAACTACAAGGTCAGAACTACATGCAACAACGTTGTTAACATTGGTACTTATAATGTAAAACGGTCTTCATTAATTGAAGAAAAAAGTCAAATTCACTTACAGTCGCAAGTCGTTGTCAGTGTATTCCAGTCTGAAGTACATACAGCACAGCCGCAACCTGTAATATATACTTATCATCACGTAAAGGACACATGGTGGTGAATACTCTGATGTCAACAACGTTGTTGCGTTGGTTAAGCCACTTAAGTTAATTAAGGTTCGTGTATTTAAGATTATCTTTTGTACTTCTGAACTTAAAGGAACAAAGCTAAATGAATATGGTAATGGTTATACAGTTCTCAACAAATTGAAAATTCCAGTTCAATTAGCGTTCCACGCTCAAAGGGCTCATCACCTTAATTTCTTAAATTCTATGGTCGTTTTTAAGACCTATTTAGCAAATACAAGCTTTGTTATCGAATTTTAGATGTCTTGTAGGCCGAGGATGATTTCTCCTTCCATGCATCTACCCTATCCTACCTCGTGTTTTATACTCTGTTTACAGATTTGTACACCTTGAGGGTTTTTATTTAGGTCAGCCATTGTTCGTTTTCTTCAACTTTTTTTCCATAGGGACCTCAGTGGGAAAATTCCTCCAGCTTTTCCTTGTCCCAGTGCTCTGTTCTAAACTTACCCGGTAAGGGAGAGTCGGTTTTAATGACCTTTACTTTCACACTAGCTGTAGAAGAACTTTGTGACATATCTCCCTTTCCCCATGTTCCACCGACATATATCAGGAAATCTCCCGTGCCTGGGTACCAAAGATTAAATTCTTCCGAGTTGTAAGCATAGACCACAGCGCCTATCCTCCCGAAAAAAGTTGAGCCGTCACTGAGCGCTGAGCCTGCTGCCTCAAACAGATAGTTCGCGTTATTGCCCTCTAATGCCTGGGACTGGAATGAAGTTAAAATTGATTCTCCAGCAAGTTAAGGAAATACATTTGTATTGGTTAAAAGTTTCGTCATTTCTCGGCCTCCTAGACTTAATTCGAACAGATTGCACCCACAGGAGGGGCCTAATGAATTTTATTCAAAAATATGCATGTTATTCTTCCTTTCCGGGGTTTCTTTTTTTTATTATTCTTATTTCAACTTTATTCCAATTATCAACCCGTGTAACGGGAAGAAATATTTTGCGCTCTGATACATGTACCTTGTAGTGGGTTGGGTTAAAAATTACCAAGAAAAGATATAGAAACCGAAAATACAACCGGTCACTGTAGTCTAGTGGTAGTGCGTTCGCTTTGTTTATGGCCGGGAGGCCCAGGGTCGATTCTCATTCAAACCCAAGACATTTACTAAGCACAGGCACCTGACATTACTTAGTTTTCTTTTAATAAAAAAAATATTACCTATCAATAATAAACAAGGTGTTTATTATTAGGTCTGTGTATATTTTTTTATTAAAAGAAAAATAAGTAACGTCAGGTGCCTGTGTTAATATGGTACATAACAAAAATACTTCCGCACCAAGCACATGGCAGTGAAAGTGAAGGGTCTTTTGGAGGAGACCTTAAGAATCGAAGTTTCATTTCAGAATAGGCGTTGACACACATAAAAAAAACCCTGCTAAGTGGTCCTGAGTGCCGAGTTTAGGACTAAATTTGACGCCCTTCACCGCCATACGATGATTTCTCTTCTGTATGAGGTAAAAAATCTAGTCAGGGATGTTAAACATCAATCAGTCATTTCAAATCCAAGTAAGAGGAAGTAGGACCAACTTCGAAAAAGGAGGCGTGAAGTAGAAAAAGGGACTGAGAGTTTCAGTTCTTGTTTGCGTAAAAGTAGTTAAATCTGAGGAAAGACTGTATGAATTGACATATAATTTTTGAAATAAGAAATGGTTTGTTTCATACTGACCTGTACAAGGAATATATTGGTCTCTATACTGAAAGGCTGTGGCATCAATAGGGTACTAGGTACCATTATACCCGGACCTCTGGTGTCAGTTTGACTGAATAGAATGTCCGATGGCGGGAATTTCCAGGCTTGAATGTACACCGTGGCAGCAGTATAGAATTCGTTCCCTCCCCATCCATCAGACACACAGAAAACGCCCACTGAATAGGAAGTTTTTGATATGATATGTGACGGTTCAATGCTAAAACACTGAAAGATTTAATCTCGATCAACCCCCTCTTTTTATAATAATATTGCTTTTCTGACTCTTTTTTGTAAGCCAAATTCATCCCTTTCTAAAAGAAAAAAAAGAACATGATAGTATTTTCATTTAAAAAAAAATTCTACAACTACTTTTATATAAGGCCTCGGTATAATACTAAATCAGTTAAGACTATACATGTATACCTCTTCCTACACCTTCTGTCGCAGGCCATAATCGTATATCAAGGATATTATAAGCCATGATGACACCACAAACAGCGTTGTGACTCACCTCACCCACTTCTTTAAAGACTGTCCCTAGATCGGATGAAACCAAATCGTTTAATATACAATTCACACTGCATGTACCTGAATTTCAGTACACATATGTGGAGAGAGAGAGAGAGTTACCCTGAGCCTCGGATATGTATCCATTTGAGAGCTTTAGTTGTACAACAACGAAGTCTGGATAATATCCAATATGGTGAGGTATACTGGTTATACTGGCATCTGAAAATGAAAATAAAAATAAAGAGAGAGAGAGAGAGAGAGAGAGAGAATATCGAGCTGAAAAGAGATTCAAAATTTTGGTCACAAGGAGGATTGAAACCATGTCGCCAACGTGAATGCGCTTTTTTTTTTTACTTTTATATCCCCAACGCGCTAACAATTAAGCTAGAGTACTGCTCTAAATATACTTGTGTATACCACGGTACTTTTGCAACAGTCTGTCTAAGAATTATAAAAAGCATTCATAATTTCGCGCCAAACGCCACGAGTAAATATTCGCGCCTTTTCTTTGGACTGATCTATTAGATAGGTATGATAGCATCAATTAAATTTTAAAAATAAAACATTCTTAGCGCCTTTATTTTATTTCGACGTTAAGAAAGTATATGTAACACATTATACACATTACATATCGTATCTAGCCCAGTTACACTAAAGCAGTGAAACGGAAATTAAGTTTTAAGATTGACACTCAATTGCAACGTACTACTGTAACGTGTCGGATCTGAGCGGTCAGTAGGTCCGTGCTCGGATTACCTATATATAGATAATAATATGACACCTGCCTGGTGTCTTTAAATCAAATGACCTAAGTGCTTTGTATAATTATATATCTTCAGTAATACCGGCACCTGCCTTGTGCCATCTGATAATTGCCTCACTATACTCGTATAACTGACTATATAAGTCAACATCTATCTGCCTGGTGCCTCTTGATTTAGCCTGGTGTATTACTGCTTACCAAGCTGCCTATATAACTCTAGCCAAGTGGCTACAAGATACTTACACAGTATGATTTAACTTTGTAAGAGCTTCTCTGTCCTAATGACAAACCTACAGCTAGTATCACGCAACTATATTTCAACGAGTCACTTACTACAGCAACTTTGCACAATCCATGATTTGATCGTTACACCAATTGGACTCTGTACCAAAGTGAAGACACAAGCCAATTGGCTGTACTGCCCCCTTGTACCTCAACTTAATCAATGATCATAAGTTATCAGATATCATATTGATAAAATACAACAGACTGCCTTTCTTTTGGCAACACTATTATTATTTTCTAACAGAACATCATTTATCAATAATACTTGTATAATTCTTTTGTCAAATGACCAATTAATTACAATATTTTTATTGATTAGCTTTTATAATATAAACAAGAACCATTTCACTACTACGTGAGAGTCGAAGTAGTTTTTTACGTTTCATGTATCCTTATGTCAGAATCGTTTAATCAAACGCTCAGCTGCCTCCATAAACCCCTACTCGCGAAATGGCGGAGTTGACAGAGGCAGCCGCCATCTTGGGCCCGCTTCAGATTTTCAAATATTAATATCTAGATTTCAGATTAACCAATAATCAAACAACTTATATAGTAAGCATCAATAGATAGGTCTCTTTTAATATTCCAAAAATAAATAAAAAATATTGGAAAACAAAAAAGTTATAAAATACGCTTTTTTTAATTCGCTTGTCCTAACGACAGGAAGTACTGATCCTGGATAGCATATATCACGATCTATAATCCCTGAAAGTTTCACATTTATATCTTCTACCGTTCTTGAGATTAACCGTAGACAAAATGTCATTTTAAAATCAGGAAATGTCCCGTAACTTGGCACCAGATAAGAATTTTCAAAAAATCTCACGGAAAAAATAACTTCATATAACAATACATAATATCTGTATATTTCATGAAAATCCACCCAGTAGTCTTCGAAAATCGCGTGCACAAAATTTGGTGTACGGAAAAATAATAAATAATAATAATAATAATAATAAGAAACAATAGAATCACTATAAGGTCTTCCGTGAAGACGGAAGACCTTAATAATTCATAAAATATTGTTTTGTATTCCTTTTATAATTAATTAATACCTGATGTTGATACTGTGTATTCCCCAGCAGATGTGAAGTTAGCTGGGGGGAAATCACACATTCTCCATACTCTTACTCTGACGTCAGCGTTTGGGTAGTATCCTTGAAAGGGTCCGGCAAATGAAGGACCACCTTAAATAGAAGGAAAATTCAAGCGTTGTGATCTGTTGTCTTGTAAGGGCAAGATTCAGGAAAATTTATTTTACCCCTTACTTTGTTTACTCAAAATGCCTTAAAATAAAAAATATGACGTCATGATGCAGGGAGTATTTAAGGAAATTTTAAATTCTTCTTCTTCTTCAGTGGACTGTATTACTATAGTAGTAGTGCTTCAATTAGGGAAATCTGTAGGTCTGTGGTTGTATCTTCATTCATTCTGGAATCAAATGGGAGTTGAAAAAAATGACGATTTTCTCCTTGAACCTGGTACCTAATTCTTTTCTAGCTTTTTTACGCTAAAGCCAAACAATCAGTTCGGAGAGAATTGCATGGTTTCCTGTAGATTTCAAATAAAGTTAAGGAATTTTGATTTTATTGTTGGGGTTGAAACGGGGTCTAAAACGACATTAAAAGAAGGATCCTGTTTTCAAAGTGAGTAAAACACTCAAATATGGAACAGATATAACAGACTCTGTGGTGTTTTTTTTCAACTTCACTGGAATATATATGTATCAAGCAGACATATGAATGGAATATTTAATGTTAATTGATAAAACATCGTTGATACATGTACCAGTATACCTAAATCAATGCGAGTTGAAAGCACCGAAGAGTGCTTTCCTATTTTCTTTTAGAGCATTTGGAATAATTTCCTCTTCATTTGAACAGAAAAACAGGTCGGTTTATAAAGAAGCATAAATCAGTACCACGAGCAATTCTAACGGTTTGTTGATAGACTCCTTTATTTTCGAAGTACATGTACTTTTATGTAGAATCAGTGATTTTTTGTTAAAGACCAATCACTAATTTTTAAACTTCCTTCTAATTCTTTAATAACGTTCCTTTTAATTCTTTAATAACCTTTGGGGTTTTTGAGAATCCACACAATGCGATTTACATCTCTACTAGAATATGTTGTAGCATACTCAGTAAGTAAGTCTCAAGTTTCTCTTTAATTAATATCAGTTAATATTTTAACAAGGAGTAAATATGAAGGCTTGATTAAGAATTTGCTAGAAGCAGCAATGTACTGGGATTGTTTTGTAAGGCATTTATGAAGTATATGAATTCCGTTTACTATAGTACGTATCTATGGTAGATCGAACACACCCTGGTGGACTGGAGTGTTACAAAATAATGTGAAATCAGAGTCCAGAGTGGAATGGTTGCATTATGGTCGTTATGGCATGTCCATATGGAATATAGTGGAAAGAAGATGAAGGGCAAGAACACTTGAGAGATTCTGTTTGAAATTTTCGCTATCTAGGTAATGTAAAGTTTGATTATAATAAGAGAGTAATGTGGGAATATTAGTATCTCTAGTAACTGTAGGGCGTAACTTCTTGAAATTTGGCGGAATACTAGTACAGAGAAGGTAAGCGGTTAACCCTCAATGCACAAGTTACAGGATGTCTCTCACTAGAAGGGTATCTGTGATGGATAAAAAGATTAAATACAATCAAGATTTGTAATTTTCCTCACTGAAATCATCCTGTAAATATAGAAAAGTGTATGGACCCATGGACTGAAGACGCCTGACGTTTTAAGGATGAGGGAGTAAGTATTATCTCACATAAATACAATTTTTAAACTTACCAGTATAAGCAAAGACACCCCTGAGGTTCGTTGAGTAAATCATTGAATCAACAGGCGTGTATAGTTTAACCTCCTGGTCGTTGTAAATAAAAACAATTCCGCCAAAATCTCGTGGGTCGTCGTCATCTCGCTGACACGAACCAAAACCAGAAAAAATGTGTTGTTTGGTTCCCTCTGTTACTCGGATTTGAACATCCACTTTAGCTGGGTACTCGTTCAGAGGGTGGGGTATGACTTTAGGACTCGGTGATAATGCCGCGTAACTCTTCCAAGGACTTGTCCATGGGGCACGAATACAGAAGACTTGATCTGAAATGACAAGCTCATTTTATTACAACATTGACTGGAAAAGGTGATTTTCCCCGGGGGCTGACTAGTTACGTTAGGATGAAACTGCAAGTGCGCTTGCGTTAATCGGAATTCTGGGAAAAAGATTTGCACAATTTTCTCCAACCAGAGGACGTGCTTCTTCACACACACACGACCTCGATCTATTTATAGACTGCCTTGTTCTTCATCGTTCTCGACGAAAATTTATGACAGAAAAAGACTGTTCAGCTTCTAGATGGGATATTTGTCAGTTTTTAAATGATACTATGAAAATATTTCTTTGCTTCTAATAGATGATAAGTACATTTATTCCCTCAATCGCCATTGCAAGCAGAAGATTTAAATTGTGTATTCCTCTGGATGTCTGATGCAAGACTCCCTCGATCAGTATTCAATACCTTGCATAAGACATGTACGGGTCGGAATTCACACAACAATCCACTTGCCCAAAGGTCCCAAAATAGTGAAAAAATGATCAATTTCTCTTTAACACTCTAATGATGGAAGTTATGAAAACATCAGCTAGAAGACCACTGTAAGACAGAAAATTCTTATAATTTACATGATGATTGACGTGTAAGTGCCGCTTGTGCACGTGAACCGCGCCCACATGTGAGACCACAGTGGAAATGCGATAGCTGAGGGAACTGTGCTGATTTATAGACTATATATATTATGGGTCAACATAACCCCCCCCCCCCATGAAAGGAGAGAGGGGGGATGGATTCCAGTTTTTTAATCCATAGTTTTGCTATGATGGTAGACATCATCAAAGACATTTTGTGTACATGTATATATACGTACTGCATGTATAAACATATTTTGAATTTCCATTTAAAATTGTTTTCTGTGGCGTTCATTACTTTTTGGAAGCAATTCTTTTCTTTCCTAATAACACTAAAATGAATTCTTAAACTTAGAAATTAAATTAGATACAGATGCAGTATGCCCCCCCCCATCATGCATTGCCTCGAAAAGCACAAATGAAAACTGTTATTTAATAATATTTAAAAACAATCTAACACAAAGTCTACCTTCCTTTTATTCATCATAATCTATATCATTTTTATAGAATTTAACGTGATCTTAGTTTCCATGGTGGCTTTTGTTCATTTAACTTTTCTTACAATGGCATTTATTACATTTAAGGAACACAACATGATGGATAGATCAAATCATAAACCAATACAAAACAAGAAAGAAACTTTCTGTATTCCAGTGGCTGACACTCAGCTTTTTTAAAAAAGCTAACCTTGTTTTCCTATTACGGTACGAGAAAATCATTCACTTTTGATAAAATTTATTTCTTTTTATAGATAAAGTTTTTAAAGAATGTGCAGCAATATCGTAGTGTGGGTTTTGACACTTAAAGGGTTGTGAAGAAAAGAAGGAAGATACACGAAAATGTAAATAATATAATTTTTTACTTACAAGGAAAGAAGGGTAATCCAAGTAAAATTTGTAAAATGAATAATTTTGATAAAAAAGCACCCATGTCTTCAATAATAAATTAATCAACCTACTTTTCCCCTGGTAAAGTACTTCTACTTGCTCCTTTTAAATGTGAATCAATACGCTGATATTCATTTTTAATTTTTAATTCATAGTTCAAATATTAGTTACTAAAGTACGTCAATGGATTTGATTATAATGTATTAGTAAGAAACAAGTTAGAATAATATACACTTTTCAAAAACTCCAAATTAAAACGAAGAAACATTTAAAAAATCGATTGCTAAAGTCTTTAAATGAAAGAAAATATTAAAGTGAAATTAAGTCATGAGATTCAGTTAGAATATTTGTATATTAAACATTGGAAGTAAATACAAAGAACAAAGATCAAGGTGAATTGTTAGGGTCCTCTTAATGAGGAAGGAAAACTAAAGCATTGGACTAATACATAAAGATATATAACACACAAGCCATTAGAATATTCAAAAGTTCACAAATCCAGGGTTTATATAGAATACTTACAATATTCCTCTCACAAAAGAAATAAGAATGTATAAGAAATTAAATAATCAAATACGAAGTCTAATACGTGTATTTCGTAAAGCATTTTTGTAAGGAAAAACTAACCCTCTATGATGAGATTGTGAACTACCACGTGACTCTGTTCGGATACCCCCCCCCCTTTCAATACCAAGTGCCTGTATTTCACTACGTTTTTTTTAAAAAAAAAAATGCAATATTAATTTAATATAACTTGCATTGGCACAACTGAGAATTATTGATCTTAAAGCTTCGACTTTTGTTGCAGAGAATTTTATAGAAGACAGTGTTTATAGAGAAAAGAAAATAACACACTAAACAACAGTCGTATTAGTAATTCTCAAATACAGTTGTTATCTATTTCAGAAAACTGTGCATTTGAATAATACAGGTACATGTTTAAAGCAAAAAAAGCCTGACTGTTGTGTTAAATATTTCAAAGGGGCATACTGATACTTGAGTTAACGGTTTAGCGACATCATGCACTTAAAAACTTGCTCTCTGCAAAAAAAGATGCATATATTTTTTTCCACACACCCTCGCAAAGAGAGAGAGAGAGAGAGAGAGAGAGAGAGAGAGAGAGAGAGAGAGAGCCGGAGAGGTAGTAGGTGAAAATTATTCAAAGTTGCAAAAACAAGAATAATTTTAAAGGATGACTTCACTTAAGGTAGGATTCTTCTCATATTTCTAATATTTAAAAATTAATGAAATTTTCATAGAATCAAGAAGACAATATCAGTAAGTTATAGTATCAGTGACATTAAATTTGACCGTTTTATATTAGAGGCAAGGTCAGGTCAAGGTAATTTTCTTTTTCTTTGACATCAAGAATAAAAAAAAATACTTTTGCCAATCATGTGATACTTACCCTTATTTCAAAAGTTTCAAGATTGTTCTTTTTGCATAAAAACATATTACTATATCGGGTCTATAGCATGGTATTACCAAATTTACATAAATAATTTAACTTCACTGGATATTGGCTAATCCGAATTTTCTCTGTTTTTCTTAATTTCTTAGGATATATTAGTTATTTTCATATGCTTCCTATAATTAACTTTTTCTTATTTTCACATATAATAAAGTAGTCTTATAAATATACAAAATGATACAAAAACAAAAAGGTTTGATCGTTTACTAAGAGAGAAAAAATACCTTTTATGGATTTTTGGCTCAAATCTGCACTTTGATAGGAAGCGTTTAAAAGCTAACAAAGTTCTAGTTTGTTTGGAAAATCATATTTATTTGATATAATTTGAAAGTTTAGTCCCTCGTTATTAATTTAACTTACATTTGAAAATTTCTCCAAGTCTTCGATTGTGTAAAAATTATAACTAAATTCATTGTTCTATTATAATTTTGAGAGGCAGAGAAGAAGATATTTTCATACGCCACCATTCCGCCAAAAATAGAGTCCCTGCTAGTTTTCAAACACAGTTTTCCATTTCTATTTAAAGTTGTACAATTGTGATGAGGAAAGAAAAATATGGTCTTTTAAATTCCTTACACCTCAATATATAAGACATATAAGCAAATATACTATAATATATATAAATAAAATATATTTCATCTAGTCAGAAACCAGAGAAGAATCCTACCTTAAGAATATGCGAAATTTGCGTCAAATAAACTTTCAAAACAGGCATTTTTCTTTCAAATACAGAAATTATCAACATCTTATCTACAACTTTACTTAATTTCAATAAATAAAAATATTTATATGTATTTACAATGTACGAATCTGTTTTCTGAGGTTGGGGTCAACACCATTTCTTCAATCTCCGGACGATAATGAGGATGCCCACTTTTTTTTACTGACTTTATACATAGTCAGCGCATGTTTGTCTATTGTTCTCCTTTTAACAGTAGTTGTATATTTGCATAAGTAATGTTGTGTTAAAAGGAGAACAATAGACAAACATGCGCTCATGGTTAAAAAGAGAAAAAAAAAACTGCTTCTTCTTGCACTCGCTCTCTCTGTTGTAACCAAGGGCTGTGACACGTTGAATATTATAATTTACCACGTGATATCTTTCCTCAGATAATTTTGGCAATCGCAACTTCTCGTGACTTTTGATAGCAAAAACGACCTGTTATATGTAGACGCCATGACAACCCTCCCTTTTCACAATCTTTGAACATATGCAGAGGGGACTTTTATTTGTGGAATAAAGCTTAACTTTATTCAATGTAATGATATTACAAAATATACTATAGAACTGTAAACTCCGTATATCCTATATCTAATAAACAGGAAATGTATTAATTTTTAACATTGATCATTTAAAGGTTGTTTTGTATTTCTACAAAGAGCTTTGGTAATTTTGGCATTAGCCCCGTCACGTGACTTATTGATAGCATGTTTTGTGACAACTAGGACTCAATCGCATCATCTTGGGTCTTTCCGTCAGATATCGGAGAAACAACCTCGAATGTATTAACATCACCGGATGTTAAAAATTTATACATTTCCTGTTTATTCAAATATAGGATAGACTGAGTTAGAAGTCCCTTCTATAGTATGTTTTAGGTAATATCATTACATTGAATAAAGTTAAACTCCATAAAAATCAAAGGTTTTGCATTTATTTCAATGATCGTGAAAGAGAGGGGTGTAATGGCGTTACCATATACATTTTTGCTAGTACGGAAAAAAGTTGCGATTGAACTAGGACTCTGTGTTCGAACACGTTGTATAGTCTGCCATCGATTTAAGATATTCTTATACTTACATGGATGGGCTCATACATTTTAAACCTTTGTAAATAATGTACTTGTGCCACACAAAATAAATAGCAAGATGGAAAATAGAGATCAGATTTTTAGTTACTGGTCAGAGACCAGAAGAGCTTATGCGATGAACAGCATTTCAAACAATTTTTCAAAACGCTACTCCTCCTACAATTTTAGTCTGATTTCAATATTACTTGGCACACAAGTAGACTACACTAAGATAGGAATAGTGCATCGGTTTTTAATTTCGATGAACGGTGTTGCCATGGTACTAAAAATAGAATTCTATGTGAAATTCCTTAAAAACGCTACTCCTTCTACAGTTTTGGTCTGATTTCAATATAACTTGGCACACAAGTAGACTACACTAAGATACATAGAATAGTGCATTGATTTATGATTTCGATGAACGGTGTTGCCATGGTTACTAAAAATAGAATTTTCTGTGAAATTCCTTTAAAACGCTACTCCTTCTACAGTTTTGGTCTGATTTCAATATAACCTGGCACACAAGTAGACTACACTAAGATACATAGAATAGTGCATCGGTTTTTGATTTCGGTGAACGGTGTTGCCATGGTTACTAAAAATAGAATTCTCTGTGAAATTCCTTTAAAACACTACTCCTTCTATAGTTTTGGTCTGATTTCAATATAACTTGGCACACAAGTAGACTACACTAAGATACATAGAATATTGCATCGGTTTTTAATTTCAATGAACGGTGTTGCCATGGTTACTAAAAATAGAATTCTATGTGAAATTCCTTTAAAACGCTACTCCTTCTACAGTTTTGGTCTGATTTCAATATAACTTGGCACACAAGTAGACTACACTAAGATACATAGAATAGTGCATCGGTTTTTGATTTCGATGAACGGTGTTGCCATGGTTACTAAAAATAGAATTTTCTCTGAAATTCCTTAAAAACCTACTCCTTCTACAGTTTTGGTCTGATTTCAATATAACTTGGCACACAAGTAGACTACACTAAGATACATAGAAAAGTGCATCGGTTTTTGATTTCGATGAATGGTGTTACCATGGTTACTAAAAATAGAATTTTCTGTGAAATTCCTTTAAAACGCTACTCCTTCTACAGTTTTAGTTTGGTTTCAAAATAAGTTGGCACACAAGTAGACTACACAAAGATACATAAAATAGTGCAATGGTTTTTGATAAGTACAAACCAGTAGAGCTACAGTCTCGACAGAGACTTCTGGTTTTAAATACATGTCATTGTTATTCACCCAGTCTAATTTTAGATCCATTCTTACGATGTTAGCTCCACCTCTCATACATACATAATACTAAATCAAGGGCAGGTAAGTGTAAATTCTCTGTATTCGGAAAACTGTTAGGACGAAAAACATGAAATTAATTATTGTTTTACAGTCTAAAATTATTTTTGACATTTAAATTAGGTGTCAAATGGACATACTTCTGTAGTAAATATATAAAAGTAAAATTAAATTAACATTTAAAAGCAACAAAAGCGATCGAAAAAGACCCAAAACACAGTTAAGTGATGTCATCCTTTCTTAGATACTATCTAAAAGTATATTCTTTCCACCACTTGTCGCAGTCGGAACAAATTTATATAGGAGTTGATGCATTGAAATAAAGATGTGGGAACAAGGCGGGCAAGATGCCTATAGCGTCGGATATTAATAAATCATATTCAATGTGTGAATTGAGTATTTAAATTAACTTCTCATTATTAAAATTCATCAAATTATGAGAAAAAACCTTTAAGTTTTCTGAGGGGAAAATCTCGTAAAAAAATTTCTTTTATTAAGGTCAGACGACACGTTCCTCAAATACATTTCCTGTTTCTCTTGGTATTATATAAAAAATTATTTATATTTGTCATTCTCTTCTAATTTCTACATTCTTTTGTAAATGTTTTTAGATTTAAGTACACCCAAAATTGTGATTAAGGCCATTCAGGAGATTACCCGTAAGGGTTATATAAGAAATATGACCATGGTATCTTGTACAAATGCCTGGTAATGTACCCTAATTTTTTGTGAGGAAACTTGTTTAAATACATTTACTTCAATGACAAAATCTTAGGAAAAATTATATATTTTTGAGGAACGTGTCATCTGACCTTAAACTATAACATGATATTCGTGGGATTCGAACCCACTATAGCAATAAAAAGCCGACATTTGACATTCATTCTACTTTGAGACTAACGCGCTAATCACTTGCTACATGGCTCATGATGATTTTGGGCATTTAAATCATGTTCCTGATATGACCCTTGACTTAATGGACTTGAAGTATTTCTCGGAAAGATGCGAATGTTTTGTCATAAAAGTGTACTTTTAAGGTATAGTGGGTCTTCGCTCCATGTTTTTGTAAACCAAAAAAATGTATATTTTATTGCAAACTTTTAGGATTATCTTTCAAAAAAAAAAATGGAGCGAAGACCCACTCATATTGAAAAATTTTGTTAAAGTATGAGAAAATGGTCTTTTTTGTTCTTTTTAGTGTGTGTATGGTTTTTCATAGGCAAATAATATTTTCAGTCTTTGTGAATTTTTTGTAGATTGTAGAGATTTTACATTAAGTATACTTTAATATTAGATGAAATATCAAATAAAATATGGATATAATTGAGATTAAATTTACCTTTTCTTATCTGTCGCACTATGACTATAGGCACTTCATCCGCTTTATCCCCCCATCTTCTTGAGATATAATGCGATATGACATCACAAACTGATATACTAATATTGAGAAAAGAACTTGTAGGTAATCAATAGTGAAATGAACCATTCTATTCATAAGCAAAATGACGAAGTGTCGCCCCCGAATTTATGCTTTTACATTCATAAAAAGGTACGTATCTCTACAAATCAGTATATTATGACATGAAGATAGTCAAAATATTATTTTTTATGAATATTTTTTTTGTTTCAAACTTTAAGTTGAAAAAACGAGGGACTTCTGGAAAGAAATCACAGGAAGTGATACGGATGGAATCATAATACAGGAATGTATTCAGCTAATTCTTTAATAATTGCATGCATGCTAATGATACCATGCATTTCTCTAAATTTGAAACATTTTGTTAAAAATTTTAGTTTTAACTTAAGAATACAAAAGTATAGATTGTACATTCAGTCTTATCAGTCTATTAAAGTGTTATTTACCACGTGTCTTTCTAAACTAATTGTAATTAATTGATGATAAAATAAATTTACTATACGATAACAAAAAAAAAATAAAATAAAAATACTAGTAAATAAATAAACAAAACAAGTGTCCGGTTTTTTTTTTTATTTTTAGGATGGAAAAAGTTGTCTATTGGTGTCAAAAGTCTTTTATTATTGTGGAATTTATCAAAGTAATAACCTAACAAGCTCAGCTGAACATTGAAATACATGTGGAATCATAATCATAAAGCTCAAAATACAACAATATCAAGCAAAAATGTCAAAGTTTTTATTATTCTGTATTCCTTTTGTTTCAGATATTTTGCTCTAGGCATTTTGTTTTACCTCTGCTGCAAGATGGGAAAGTTGTCGGAATTTTTAAACTTAAAAGACCAGGATGAATGCTGGTTAGTCAGCAAAACAAGAGGATGTTTAAACAAAAAACAACCCTCAGCTACACATGTTGCTTTTTTAAAAGTTCATAAAACGGGAAGCACCGTTGTCCAAGGAATTTTTCTTCGTTACGGACTAAATAGGAATTTAACTTTCGTTGTTCCCAATAATAAGTCATGGTTTCCAAACATTATCAGTATAAACGAGTCAGTGATTCCAGGTTATAATATCATCTCTCCTCCAAAAAACAAAACCTTTGATATCCTTTGTTTTCATGTAGTTTACAATCGTTCAGCGATTCAAAGTATCATGCCAAAAGATACAAAATACATAGGAATTATTCGTGAACCGTTTTTGCAGTTCGAATCCACGATCCGTTACTTTAACTTCGGCAAGAATCAATATGGAAACAGACATTTTATCAGCAATTTTTTTAGGAATTACAATTTTTTTAAGAAAGTGGAAAACAACCCTGCAGTCTTCTCATTTTTGAATAATAGAATGTCTTTTGAATTTGGTTTTCCGTCGCACCTTTTTGATTCTTTTGATCTTAAAGACGTGAAGCAATATTTAGAGAAACTCAAAAACGAATTTGATCTCGTCATTATAAATGAGTACATGGACGAGTCAATCATACTGTTACGAAGGATGTTAAACTGGAACGTCAAAGATGTCCTCTTTGTAAACGTTAATGTCAATAGAAAACGGCATTACCTCGATCACACAAAACTAAAAAACATCTCTCTATATCGTCGATATGCAAAGCTGGATTATGAATTATACAATTTTTTCATCAAGAGACTATGGCGACAAATAAGAGCCTGTGGAGATGATATCATCGAGGAAATTTCATACTTTAAATTATTGAGAAAAAGTTTGGAAAAGTTTTGCAAAAGCAAAGGAAAATCTTTTCTAAAAGTAGAGCCAACTTCGTGGAGTTCTTCATTCAGTGTAACTAAAGACTACTGCTTGGTCATGAAATGGAGAGAAATCTTGTATCTTACAAGGATAAAGGAGCAACAGTATTGAATACTTCCTCTATGTCTTCACCATGGCAAAGATATTCATATCAATACAGGAGAATAACGAACGTTTTGTCTGCTAGAACCATTTATGAACAGAATAAACGCTACAGGTTGATCTGCCTCCATGTTCTAACCAATTCTGAATAGCTACAATATACCTGGGTACTTTAATCTTTTGCTACATAAAAAATACGTTCATATGCAGGCTTCTCATTTACTCCACTTAAAGTCATGACCCCCGGGGGTAGGGTACATGTAGGTCCACATTGAAAGTTCCTATTTGTAGGGAAAAAGCTTAATAAGTCCAAAAAAATCCCTAAGCATTCTTAGTGCAAATTAAAATCATACTCCCCCGTATTAGGGGTAGTTCGGGGCTACTTATGCATTGAAGCTTTTCAATGCTAAAATGATGTTTGCCTTTTCCTAACCATAGTGCTCAGGTTAGCAATGTGGATTTAGGTCTCTTGTTTGTTTTGTGTCCTAAGTCTCTATATTTATGAGTAAGCAATTGCTTTTTTATCTATATTTCAGATGATGCCATATATGAAATGTCATTAAGAAGATTCCAGCTGTTGTGCGTAAAAAAGAAATAAAAGCATCACTCAACGCAGTTTTATGAGATTAAATATCGCAAAGGTCCTTAAAAGGGATATATCTTAAATATAACGCAACTAGCTAAAAGCTGTTATTTACATAAGCTTATTATACGATTTTTGATTGTATTCTGAACCAAAAGTTCGTAAATTTTCTAATCACCTGTTGCCCGTAGTCTATCTGCTTGACTGTCAGAACTGAACTTCTAATTGCCTCTAACCTTCGATATCAGGGGCACAAAACGTAAATAGCTAAAAAATCCTTACCAATGTCTTTTGTCGTTTGCTAGTGACAAAAAAACCTAAACAAAATTAGTCTTTTTACATAAAAAAAAAGTTCAGAAGTCATGGCCAAGGTTAAAGTTTTTTTAAAAGTGGGCCAAACTGTAAGGTCATAAGGTCAAAAATAGTTATACCCACTGAAAGGTCTGGTCACAATGTATATGTGAAGTATGAAAGCCCTAGCATTAAACTGTCCTATCTGCAGAACTACGGCTCTCTGATTGAGAAAATTCGGACAGAAAAAGCAGAGAGCTACAAATCCAACCTTTGTAAAAACCGACGATTTACGCCGCCGATTTTTTTGTCACTCACTTCGGGTATTATTTCTGGTATTTAATGCTTTCCCTAGCTTTAACAAGAGGCCCACGGGCCTTATAGGTCACCTGAGTATCATGCAACAACTTTCCAACAATTGAATTTGGTTTGTGTTTTAAACCAGCTGAGGCTATGAAATTCACAATTCAAAAAAAGCACCATTGCTTATCATAATTATACACTTAGCAATGCTTACTAGATAGTTACTTAATACCCATAGGTAGATCAGAGTAACTAAGAGAAAATGCACTTCCATTATAAACCAGTTGTGCACCCCACCCCACAGGTTCCACTGACACTGGGGTCACATATTTCAAAATTTTGAAAATTTTATCATAAATGTTATTTCATCAAATATGGTTGATTAATTAATACTAAAGAGCAGATTTCAAAGCATTAATTTATTTTCAAACTATGTACCCCCCCCCCCCCGATACCCTTGACCCAGGGGGCATGAAATTAACCATTTTGCTGGATGCACCTTTCTTCATCATAAATATATATACTTAGATCATTGGCATAATACCCAGGAGCAAAGGAAAAGATTTTCAAAGAATTAATGTGTTTTCACTATATAATCAAAAGAGCCCCCCTCCCCTTAAACCAAATAGCAAAACCCCTGAAACAAGGGCCATGAAATTCACAAATTTGGTTGAGGCACTCTTGGTCATTATAACTATATACTAAGTTAGTTTATTTAATACCTAGGAGCAGAGGAGAAAATTTTTGAAAAAATAATGCATTTTCACTATATAATGAATAAAGCCCCACCCTAACACCAGAACCCTTGACCCTGGGGCCATAAAATTCACAATTTTCGAAGAGGCACTCTTGCTCATTATAACTATGTACTTAGTAAGTTTATTTAATACCCAGGAGCAGAGGAGAAAATTTTTGAAAAAATAATGCATTTTCACTATATAAATCTATATAGCCGGGCCAGACTGCCCTAGCACTAAAACCCCTGACCCTTGGGCCAAGAAATTCACAATTTTGGAAGAGGCACTCTTGCTCATCATAACTTTGTACTTAGTTTATTTAATACCCAGGAGCAAAGAAGAAGATTTTCAAAGATTTAATACATTTTCACTATATAATCAATAGAGCCCCGCCCAAACACCATAACTCCTGACCCTGGGGCCATGAAATTCACAAATTTGAAATAGGCACTCTTGTGCATCATAACTATGTACTTAGTTAGTTTATTTAATAACCCAGAGCAGAGAAGAAGATTTTCAAAGATTTAATACATTTTCACTATATAATCAATAGAGCCCCGCTCTAACACCATAACTCCTGACCCTGGGGCCATGAAATTCACAAATTTGAAAGAGGCACTCTTGTGCATCATAACTATGTACTTAGTTAGTTTATTTAATAACCCAGAGCAGAGAAGAAGATTTTCAAAGACTTAAAGTATTTTCACTGTATCATCAATAGAGCCCCGACATAACACCAAAACCCCTGACCCTGGGGCCATGAAATTCACAATTTTTGGAAGAGGTACTCTTGCTCATCGTCATTATGTACTTAGTTTATTTAATATCCAGGATCAGAAAAGAAGATTTTCAAAGATTTAATGTATTTTCACTATATAATCAATAGAGCCCCGCCCTAACACCATAACTCCTGACCCTGGGGCCATGAAATTCACAAATTTGAAAGAGGCACTCTTGTGCATCATAACTATGTACTTAGTTAGTTTATTTAATAACCCAGAGCAGAGAAGAAGATTGTCAGAGATTTAATGCATTTTCACTATATAATCAATAGAGCCCCGCCCTTATACCAGAACCCCTGACCCTGGGGCTAAGAAATTCACAATTTTGAAAGGGACATTCTTCCTCATCATAACTATGTCCTAAGTTAGTTTATTTAATATCCAGGAGCAGAGAAGAAGATTTTTAAAGAAATAATGCATTTCCACTATATAATCTATATAGCCGCGCCCTAGCACTAGAACCTCTGACCCTGGGGCCATAAATTTCACAAATTTGGTAGGGGACTCAATGCTGATTACAATCATGCAAACAGTTTGACTGCTTGGTGTCCAGGAGTAAAGAAGGAGATTTTTAAAGATTTCATTAATTTTAGTGGTTTTGGCCCCACTCCTCAGGCCCCAGGGGGGCGGGGACCATAAAATTCACAATTTTTGTTCCCCTTTACCCATAGATGCTGTATACCAAATTTGGTTGAAATTGGTTCACTGGTTTCAGAGAAGAAGCTGAAAATGTTCAAATGTTAACACACGACGGACGAAAACGGATAGCAATAAGTCACCTGAGTGACTCAGGTGACCTAAAAATGGTATCCGATAATTAATCAAATATTTTACTTTTATTGTAGCAGCTATGTAATAGAACTGAACAATTTTCAAAGAAGCACGGCTAGGGCCTGTTATAAGGTGAACACTTGCTCAATTTACAATGATAGCCCCACGATTAATCATTTAACGTTTTTTAAACACTATCCATTCAAAATCAAGCGAAGGTTACATAGAGGTTTATTAGAAGTAAGGAGTCTTGAATAAGGCATTTATGCAATGAGGAAATGCGACATACAGGTTATGCGTAGAATAATGAGGGAGCCATGATGCAAACACTCAACGCAGCGATGTCTGAACAGGACATTATAAAATATAGACTTTAATAAACTGAATGTATACAAAGGAAAGGAATTATGAACGTTAGATCCTAATTATATATTTAGTCAAATAAAGAATATTTTGATAGACCTCTCTGCATGTAAATAATTGAGGGAATAAGCCGCACATCAAATTTTCATAACGGTATACAACCACAGACATATTCTGAAATTATCGCCCTTATAATTTGAAAGAGGGTGTTGCAGAAACTCGCGATTTTTCCCTATATATCGAGAAGGACATTTAAATACCCTCGTTATGTCTAAATATAGATACACAGCTACGGAGAGGACTATGTTTACGGCGGGTATTTCCTGCTTGATACAGCAAAACACTCGTCATTTTGCACGAAAGAGGTTGGAACAACAAAAAGCACAATGGCTAAAGCAGCATTTTGAAAGATATACTGTAGACATCGTGCGAAAATATTTTTCATGAAATAAAACTGCGTCCCATAATCACACGGTTGGTGCGATATGTCCAAGACATTTTATTTGTTTCAAACAAAATATTGGCTACTAACTAAGAGACCGTATGTAAAAAATAAATTATTTAAACAGTACAGTAATTTTATTTTCCAAGACAAAACTAAATAAAGCATTAGTTTTAAGTCACAGTATATCAAGGAAAACAATTTAATCCTGCATTTCTTATACTGTATATAGATTAGTTATTAATTAACTTCCTGGCATTGTCCCCCCCCCCCTCCTCTCTTTCAAAAAATATATAATTTCATTGCCTTACAATTACATATGGGGAAAAAAATATGCAAAAATGATCCATACGGGATTCGAACCCATTCTCTGGTATAAGTACTGGATGGAAGCCCACCAGCATATCCACTAGACCATTTCGGACACGATAGTTTTGCAGAGTTATTTAAAGTACACATTTGGCATTTCGTTTGGAAAATAATTTTTATTCAACTTTTGCGTTTTTCAAAAATGTGCCCCTTTGAAACAAAAATGGGAAATGGCAGTTTTGAAAATTCCTGCCTCTTTGTGTACATATCAAAATTATTCTGTTTCAAGGAGGCACTTTTTCAGAACAATGGGGATTCCCTACTTAAAAAAAGGAAAATCTGATATATTTTCCCGTGAGACTAATTTTCACATCATTTAATGGCAAATTGGAAGTCAATACACACCTTCCAAATATTGTTTTTCGTTGTGCTTTATATATTGTTGCATTTGAAAAAAATTAATATGAGTTTCTGCAACATAAAAATTCTTCATTTAATCTGCTGCAGCTACACATTTAGGGAAAATAACAAAAGAACTGCAACACCCTCTTACATTTATTTTTTTGCATGTTTAAGGAATTCTGCTCAATCCGTTTAAATGTAGAAAGATCAAGAATAAACAATTTTTAATTTCTCTTCAAAACAACCATAAGAGTTTTCTCTTTGCTGTATATAAAGTATTTTCCCCATATTTTTTATTATGAATAAATCAAGAAAATGTTTATATTACGTATATGTATAGTTTATTACACAAAGATTTACAGAAAATAAGTCAGATGGACAATAAAAAATGAAAGAGAGAGGAAGAATGTGGGGAGAAAGGAAAAGTAGGATGAGAGATAAAAGGGGTAGGGAGAGAGTGAGAGTACGAAAAAGAATGTAGAAAGAGAGAGCAAGTAAGAAATGAGTATGGGTAGGGGTAGACAGTCTGCGGAGGGGGCAGAGACTGTGGGTAGGGGAGGACAATGTGGGGAGGAGGCATTAGTGTGTGAGGAGGAGATTGTGGGTAGGGGCGGAGAGGGACCGCGGAGAGTGGGGGAAGGGGTAGAGAGTGGGGTAGGAGGGCGTTAGAAGGGACAGAGAGTGTGGGGAGGGCAGATACTATGGGTGGGGGTAGATATTGTGGGGAGGGGGCAAATTAGTGTGGGGAGAACAAGACTAAATGGGGAAACTGAATAAAATGTATATGAATTTTCTGATGATAATAGTTATCATGAACCATGAACACAACTATAATGTACGCCCGCAAGGCGAAGTGGTTAGAGTCAAATTTGAGTTGCTGAGTTTTGCTTGTACATATCTTATGTATGTAGTTTAATGTCCCCCTCGGGAATTTTTTTTTCATTCATATGGAGACACCACCACTTGCCGTTGAAGAGCTGCAAATTTTTCCTATACTCGGCACTTACGGCCATTAAGCTTCACACACCCTCAAACACCCCCTCTTGCCCCCCCCCCCCCCACACACACACACCCTCACAGAGAGAGATTATACAGTTACATGTGCAGTTGCACCTTTAACACGTTTTAGTACTTTTATTGTTAATATTCGATTTTTAAAAAATGAACATTTACATGTGTGAAATGAATTTGATGAAGCATGTATACGTTGAAAAAAATCAGGAAGTAAATAAAACACGTAGGAACCTTTAACTTGTTTTTCTTCCCTGTCTATTGGACAGACGACAACATGGCGGTTCGTGGTGCTATGATATGTCTGCTATTTTCTGTGTTGTTACAATGTGTACAAAGTTATAAACTGAATCGCCTAATAAATGAGTTCTACATCACAGGTAAGCTTATTGTTTTACCTATTTGAATGTTTATCTAGAACCAATGATCGGTTACATTACCGTCCGTTTAAAGGTAAGTAAAACCACGACATCAGTTACATAGTTCTCGAAAACATAGGCAAGACAGTTAATATGTAAAGCTATTGATGATGAATTTCATTTCTTTTAACAATTGTAAGAATACACATCCAAGGAATATAATAATTATTCCTTATTCTGTCTCAAATATTCTATATCAAATCACCCACAGAAACTTGAATATATACATGTACATGTACTATATACAACACGTGAAGGTTATATCAACTGTTAGCATTAAAATGTCTACATTGGTGTCGCATAAGAATTATTTTATTTACGCCCAGTTTATATATTTTGTTCAAATATTGTTCCCTGTTTATAAAAACATAGATAAACATGGCAAAAACTTAAGACCGGGAAAGTAATGTCCCGGTTTAAAGTTTTTGTCATGTCTGCCTGTCTGTCTGCTAACCTTACCCAAACCTTTTGACTGTTAGAACTATGACTATATTACAATTTACATCTGCACTTCTTGTGACAATATCTTTCTTTGGATACCAATATTTTGACATTTTGACCTTGGATTTTGACCCACTTTTGCAAAGAACTATCCAAACTTTATAACCTTAGTCCCAAAACTTTTGAACAGATTGTGCTAGGGTTTTCGTCTTCAGGGTTAATTCTTGTGATAATATTTCCTTACGTATAAATATATTTGACCACAGAGTTTGACCCTCCTTCAATAAAAAAAAAATACTTTAACGTTGGTCAGAACTTTTGAAAAATTATTATTAATGCTTTACTATTTTACTGGTGTATTTCTTGTGACAATACCTTTCTTCGGATAACAACACTTTTAACCTTTTGGCCTTGACTTTGAAGACTGACCTACTTTTGAAAACTTTGTCATTGGGCAGAAATTTTTAACAAAGTGCTAGAAATTACATCTTTTTTGTCTCTTGACGTTTAAATTTGACTTTCATTAGAGACTCTTTAACTTTCACCGAAATTTTTTTTTTACTTACAAGAATATTTTATGCAATAAAAATTATATTTAATCTTTGTAATTTAAAAGAAAATACTTTTAAAAATCTTCATCAAAAATTGTTTCAGCTGATTTAAACTCGTGCTCTAACTTGGGAGGAAAATGTCAGAATGACACGAAACAGTGCGATGGTTCCTATATCACCGCCAGCTGTACCGGGGGTGCCACACAGAAGTGCTGTCTTGCAAAAATTCAAGGTAGGTTATCTGTTCTGAACATTGTTGCAAAGATATTTGATTATCATACTCTGTTATATTTCATGAGATGTTAACAGCATCTGTGTGTCAGCACAGGATCGCATTTTTATGTTTTTCATGTCGATTTTAGATTAGAATATTAAGCTATTAGTTACATTTGAGGTACAGGTATATTAAAATAAATGTTTACGAGGAAAATCTCACCTTTGGCCAACCAAATACATTTAAGATATATAGTACTCAATTTGTAACAAGGATGTCTCTCATTATTTGGACTGATCCAGAAGGGAGGGAGATATATGAGTTAAAGAGAAAAGTTCTTTATTATGACTTTCTTAATCTATCTTACATTAAGGGTAAATAACACAAACAAACTTTTTTCACAAATCAGCATTATTTCTCATAGATTTACATTTAAATTGACAACCTGAATAATGTTTACAAAGTACGTAGAGTGGGAGAATTTTATAAGATTTTGTCATAAAGTTAAAAAATTGTGCAAAATTTTGTATGGAATTATACAGAAGGCAAAATAAAATCTCAAATCTAAGCACACCAAGGAAAACCTACGATTTCTTTATATTTTTCAGGGATTTATTATTTATATCAATACAAATCAAAATCAGTCCAAAAATATATATCAACCCGCGCATCCATTTTTTGTTTGTGGTAAGTACCCTTAAATGACTTCCGGATTATCTGACATAATAATGTAAAAAAAGAACTAACTGATATCTGATTTATTAACCTTCAGTACAAGACACAGGAGAATGTCAGGGCCTTCCAATTTTATCACGTGATACGTGGGGAGCGGCTCGTCCCAAACTGATAGAGAATCTGACGTTACCAATGACCATGTTCTTCATACACCATACCGACACAAAGACAAACCACTGCTACGACACGGAATCTTGTTCAGCTGTTATGAGAGCCATCCAACGATTTCACATGAACGACCGGGGTAGGTTCATTTTGTGGACACTATACCTAACTCTTTTTTACATTGATCACTTTCAATAAATCATACAAATAATACATTACAAAAATATAAAAGAAAACTTGAGCCTGAAAAAAATTGTCTAGAATGTTATTGTTGTAGGTTGGGAAGACATTGCTTACAGTTTTCTGATTGGTGGCGATGGTCAGGTGTACGAAGGCCGCGGCTGGGACCGTGTGGGAGCACACACCTATCGTTATAATTACGTGTCGCTGGCTGCGGCATTCATTGGAACATTTAACGATACAATGCCGCCCGCACCGGCAGTGACGTCAGCTCGTAAACTTCTGAAGTGTGGCGTTTACAGGAATGCAATCACGTCTACCTACAGTCTGTACGGCCACCGTGACGTCAGAGATACCACATGTCCCGGCTACACGTTGTATAATGCGATCAGGAAATGGCCACACTATAATGTTACTACAGGTAAAGAACCGCCCCCGAATATAACACCTTTGCTTCATGCAGTAAACTTCGCGTCCGGAAAACGGAGAATTCACCGAACTGTAAATTATTTAATGAATCATGTAAACTCTTGTGGTTACTAGATGGTCATGTTTTCATTTTAGACAGAGATGGACCCTGCTTACAGAAAGGTGGCATTTGTGGTCCTACATATCTTACTTGCCGAGGCACATATCAAAAGGGTCTGTGTAATGGTTATTCAGGGCGGCAGTGTTGTATTCCAAATCAACACGCACCTGTCAACAAGCACCAACAGAGATCCCCAATTCCTGTCAGAAAACTACCAGCATTCCTTAGTCAACACACACCTATAAGTAAGCTAGTATTCAACACGTACGCACCTATCAACAAGCTACCCGCATTCCTAAATCAAGGCGCACGTGTCAGGAAGCTGTCAGCGTTCCTAAATCAACATGCATCTGCAAGCGTACTTCCTTTTTTTTTTTAAAACGTTATATACATAAATTAAAACAGAGTACTTGTTAGATACTTTACTATAAGGCGCCAGTTTGGTATTAATTATTGCATTTTACTTGGTGATATTATCTACTTGTATTCGAATAGGTGATATCACTTATTCGCATAAGTGATATCATTCAATCAAATTGAACGGGTGATATCACTTATTCATAAAAGTGATATCACCTCAGTGTTCGAATCTGTGATACTGATCACTTACTGGAAATGAATAGGTGATGCCACTTATTCGAAGAGGTGAATAGGTGATATTACCCATTCGAGCTGAACAGGTGATATCACATATATTAGAACAAGTGATAACACCTATTCGAAAATTCGGCCTGCCTTGTTAATCTGAGAATGTTCTAAATTACTGTAGTTTTATAAATTTTACTCGCAGCATTTGCTTTTGTTATATAGGAAGATATCATTAATTCGAGTAAGGTTTTAATACAACCTTTTTATTCATGATGATTCTGTGATATCACATTAAATTTGAAAGGTGATACCACACATTCATTTTGAATATGTAATATCACTTATTTGAATAGGTGATATCACCTTTTCAGATTAATTATGAAATAAGGACTGCAAAGAGTATCATTAGGATAGTAAATCTTGTTTACTTTCACTTTCATTTTATAACCTGTTATAAAAAAATTATCGAAAATTCTCTTGATTCAGGTGACGAGAATTATACAATTTCTATGAATATGAACAATTACAAAAGAGAGAAACAATCAATGAATTTGTTTTGAATAGGTGATAACACCAATTTAAAACAAATAGGTAATATCACCAAATAAATCAAAAAGATGATATAACCAATTCAGGAGCTGCGGTGATTTCAACATTTGAAAGGTGATACATCACTTTATGGCAGCAAATACCAAAACGGCGCCTCATACGTTATTGTCTCTTTCCTTTTAGTAATAAACAGGGGTATTTTATCAATCATTATTTAATTTCAGAAGGTTTTAATTGTTTCGGAGATTTCATGCTTTTACGTCCGTCCGGAAGAAAGTCAGGAGGTACTACTAATTAAATAATTCACATGTTACTTCCCATAATATTTGCAAATTTCTGTAATTACTAGTCTATATATGTTCTGTTAAAATATTGCACAATGGTTTATTTTTTTGTTGAGCCAGTTAAACTACATATATGTCATCGATCTATAACAGACCTTCCATTTGAATAATATTTCTAATATTTTTACACTTATAAAGCATCACTCGATTTGAGTCAGTGAAAGGTTTATAAATACCTATGTTATTGTAGGAGTGCCGGAGTCGCGGAGGGAATTGGATGCTCATTACACTCTGGCTAACAACTATCATGGATGTTTTTTGCAAGTCGGAAATGAAGTTTGTACGTTAACATAATGTCATAGGCTAAATCTACGTGTACTTGTTTTATTTTGAAATATTCGTTTCTTTATCTCTGTTTCTGTGTTGATGTAGGTCTACACCCAGCGGTCATAGCGGGTGTCGCCAGCCGAGAATCTAATTTTGGATTTTCTCTCACCCCCGATGGATGGGGGGACAACCACAATGCTTATGGAATGATGCAGGTGAGCTTCAGTCTGACAGGCTAACAATAGTGTAACCAAGTAGACACATAATGGAGATGAGAAGCTATTCAAGCTAAAGTGAAAAGAGGGAAATGGGCAATAATCTAATCAGTATTATACTCATTGATCAAGTTTTGTGTCCCAAACCTAAGAATTCTTGCATGATAATAAGAATTATTTGTGATTTTGTTGCTCTAATATTAAAAAAAAGATTAATCCTTACTGGTATATTTCTATGTTAAACATTAATTCCTGTACCGGTCCAATCTTGACCCTACTAAACCTATATAGGGATCATTTTGTTGAATAATCTGATATTGGCATTACATTGAAACAACTTTAAAACCAGATACCGGTATATGTGTTTTTAAAAGAGACACTGATGGTCAAGTATGTCAACTTGTGGCAAAGGAATGCAAGTCACAATCCTATGTCAAGGTCAATCAAAAATGTTAAAGATCGTGTCTCAAGGAATACCGGTACATGTATACCTTTGAAAATATGAAGGCCCTAGTGCCAACTGTAGAAAACTTTTTGCAAGGTTAAAGTTTAAAAATTAAATAAAGGTAAAAGGTCATGGTCCTCTTTATGAATATACCTGTGAACTCCAAAAAACCGACGAAAAGTTATGGCAATTAATAAATTAATATTACGTGTTTTTTTTTTTTTATTTAGAGAGAGCGTTTAAAATATAAAGTACATGTGTTTTGTGTATGTACATGTAGTGTGATGTCCGAAAATGTCCCGTATGTCGGTATGGAGTAACATGCACAACCTACAGGTTTGATAGTTGTGATCACATCAGAATGATGACTACAGATGTACTAGTACCAAACATCATGGCGGTCAAGAACAAGTTTCCGAACTGGTTACCACAGCAACACATCCAAGGTAAAGTTGGAAATCAGCCAAAACTTATGGGCGTTTTTACTTTTCAATGACGGAAATTTAAAATCATATGCAAGTTCCTTACACATGTACATTTATTTCAAATGTAAGTGAACAGATGTGATCATATTCAACTCACAAGGAAAAGCCCGATGGCCAGTAGGCAAAATGCCAAATTTTACAATCAAACATACTTGAATTCGAAATAAGTCAATTAAGAAAGTTTTTTATTTCACACGAAATTTTAGAACTTGTGCCTTTTTTTTATTGCTGCTTACATGTAACAGAGAACATGTACATGTATGTCTATAAACAAAAAATAAATTTGTTTTCGTAATGACAGATTGAAGTGTATATTCTGAACAAAGATAAAAGGGTGTTTATATATTTTCCTAAAATTTTAACTTTCGAATAATATTTTAATGATCTTTTTCAGACCTTCATTTAATCAAAATACATTGTATAATTTTTTTTACGCAACTTTTTTAAATTTCTAAACTTTACAGGAGGTGTAGCTGCCTATAACTTTGGGGTGAGTAACGTGAGATCCTGGGCGAATCTTGATGTTGGAACGACGGGTGGAGACTACAGTAATGACGTCATTGCGCGCGCACAGTGGCTCGTATCGGCACACAACTGGTAAAACTATGCCCAGGGTGTGACAGCTTGAAGAAAAGAATTGTTACTGGAATCAGTGTTATTATCTAAAACGAGACATATCAACTGATGATATTATTGTAGCTACAAACAGAATACTAGTCTTTTTTGGATTTTCTGATTTTTTTTAAATTTTCCTATATATATGTTGAGAACGTTTTTCACTAGGCACACGTACCATGATACCCGTGAAATTGTTCTATTAACAATAAATTTATTATTATTGGCCGCAGCAGCGGCGATCTATTTGTAGTTGTGTTGGGATGAGCAATGCTCAAGACATTATTTTTTCATGCTGCAATAAAGTTATTCCTCACTGAAAGCATACATAAAAGATGGAAATAAATGTTTCAAAAAATTTGCTTTATACTATGTCTAAATGATTGTTATAATATTTTAGTTAGTTTTCATTTCTTAGCATCATATATATTAAATTAAGATTTTATAAAAAGTTGCTACATGAACTTCTCCACAAAAATGGACGTGCGTAAGATGTAAAAACAAAAACGTATTGAGTTTCCGTATATGAATCGCATTGTCTGAAAAACATTATTAATTGTAAAAAGTTTAAGAAGAACTGGTTTTTTAAATACACTGCCATTACAAATGACATAATGATTTTTTTTTGCCTTTTACATTCATTGTGATAATCACACGCTGGTCGTTAACACGGGAAGTTTGTAGTTGTTCGTCCTGTTAATCAGCATGTACGAGATACTTGTTGCAGTAGTGTTTGAATCAACTTATCTGATGATAGTACATTCCTATCCTTTATATCAGTCCGATTCTTTATTTTGATTATTATTTAACAATTGATTTACAGAAAATTAAAGTGTACAAAATAAATTGTACAGAGAAATTAAAAGTGTAACAAGAGTTTAATATAATTTTCCTACTTGTATTGTGGACTCGTTCTTGTAGAAATACTTTTAAATACTATACTTTTTGCGGACAATTTGATGCTTTGCATTAAAACTTGTTACATAAGCGTATCTCAATGGTGGAATGCCATATAGCTGAGCCAAGTTGCTGAAAGATACATGTATACATATATGTAGAAATATATGCTGTTAAATGTGGAAATACTATACGTGCTCGTGTTGTATAAATTCAGCCAATCTCCATCTTGATGTTGATTTTTTAAAAATCATTTTAAAAAAAAAATGACAGGTCATCTTTAAAGTTAGAATTTAAAATGTTTATTGAATTCAGATCATTGATTAATAAATCGGATAAATGGACTTGTATGGTAAGTATATGGTTTGTTTCAATATGAGTATGATCAAACTTACTTCAGCATTCATCTTTCAAATGATATACTAAGTATATATGCCAATTTACAAATGAATGTACATCGTTTTCAACCGAAAAAAAAATGGATCCCATCTTAGCAGTAATGTAAAGGAAAGTTGAGCCGAAAGCGTTCCATATTTAAAAATACTTATGAAAATGCATGTTCAACTCTTTTAACTAGACTTAGTGCTATGTATAATAGATGGATTTTTGTATTTTTTAAAATCAATTAATATTTAAGGAATAACTGTCTTATTTTTCGAATTCATGAAGTGATCAATGGATTGGCTTGTGTGATAATTTTCATAAACGCCGAAGGCGTTTATGCATAAAATTATCACACAAGCCAATCCATTGATCATCTTCATGAATTCGAAAAATCTGACAGTTATTCCTTATATTTACATGCTTTGATTCCGCCAATCCACGGGCTCCAAGCCTGCTTCTCTCTAGGTGTTGTCCCGCCCTGCACGTGGTTTTTTTGGAACCGCGCCAAAACATTCACGAGGAAATCAATTACATTTACAATTGGTAATTTTATCTCGGACAAAGACATTGGAAATGTAAATATTCTGCAATAAGTACCTTTTAAATTTCATTTTCATTTACTTGGAAAACATCAAATTGCCGCACAGGTAATTCCGTAAATGAAAAAGAAATTATGTCGGATATTAAAAGAAACAATGTCTGAAATGTAAAGAAAAAATGTCCGAAATGCTTTTCAGATTTCCGGAAATGAAAAGCAGCGAGAACAAGGTACAATTTTAACGATAAAAAGCAGTCAAGGATGGATTTGATTTGCTATTAAGGTGCATCGATCATATAATTTGCTAAATGTTGACTTTAAACGAGAGTACTCTTATCCTTGAACATGTATCATCAGCTTCTTGATCAATAACTTGGCCAGTATAAGATATTATTAGTACCTAGAACATGCACTTGCATATCAGCTTAAATAATAAACTATATATACAGATGATTATGGCAGATCAATGAGGTGCAAAGCAATTAAGTTAATTTTTATTGTTGTCCGTCTTCATCCGTCGTTGTGCGTTGTGCATTAACATTTGAACATTTTCAGCTTCTACCAATTAATTCTGCCGCTAAACCAATTTCAACCAATTTTGATGTAAAGCATCCATGACTGAAGGAGAACAAATAATGTGAAATTCATGGTCCCTGTCCCTCTCGGGCCTGGGGGTGGGACCAAAACCACTAAAATTAATGCAATCTTAAAAAAATCTTTTTCTTTACTCTTTGACATCAAGCAGTCAAACTGTCGGCATGATTGTAATTAATAAGCATTCAGTCCTCTACCAAAATAGTGAAATTCATGGCCCCAGGGTTAGGGGTTTTAGCTAGGGCTAGGGCGGGGCTATATAGATTATATAGTGAAAAATGCATTTTTTCATGAAAATCTTCTCTGCTGCTGGGTATTAAAGAAACTAGCCAAGTACATAGTTACGCCTCTTCTAAAACTTACATGGCCCAGGGTCAGGGGTTCTAGTGATAGGGCGGGGCTTCTATAAAATATAGAAATTACATATTTAAAATGCATCAATTTATTTCTTTCAAAATCTTCTCTGCTCCTGGGTATTTGAATAAACTTACAGGTACATAGTTATGTTGAACAAGTATACATATAATTATGATGAGTAAGAATGCCTCCTCCAAAATTGTCTCTTAATACTTTTAAAAAGAATATCACCGATATAATACTAGTAACTAAACCCCCGAAATATTTTTCGTTTGGTAAGCGTATTATCAATATTATACACACTAAATTAAGACACAACTGTTTGCTAATATGGAAGGGAATTACCGCCAAAAGTCTATGTATCTTGCTTTTATTCTTATTCTGCCTACTTCTTTATGCTTTGTTATTATTGTAATTATATGTCACTTTATTGTTTTCATATTCGTCTTCATTGCATTTCACTTTGACTTTTATCCTTCTTCATTTTGCCCTTACTTCTATGTTGCTTTATTCTCGTTAATTCATTTTACATTCTTTTAAATTGATACAGTTTCTTAAATGATTATCTCAATTACGAACGTGAATTCAATCACACAAAGAATGAAGCATATTCAATGAAGACGAATACAAGTTGTCAAAATTTAGTGCCGCATTATAACGCTAGGTGGCAGAGGTGTTCGCTACGAGTGATGGTAAAACTAGGTAAGCAAACCCGGGCCGGGGTTATTAAAGATTTTTCAATTTTCTGCCTTAATACTTTATCAATCGAACATCTGAAGGCCGAATCCGATCACCCGATCCAATGATGGAAACTCCATATTTATTTCCTCTGGGCACACAGGAATAGCGACCTCTTTTTTTAAACATATTATAACTTTATATACCGGTACTTTACTGAATATGCTCATTGAAAGGCCGACCCACTTTTTGTAAGGGTAAGGGTCAAATAAGGTTAATGTAGTATAGTAGGGATAACATTTAAATTTGATACTATAGAAGAAGTTGAATCTAACCCAAAACCCACCCGCCCCCTTAATATGATTTCATTGGCATCGGAAGCAAATTGAAAGTTGGGGCTGGGGGGGGGGGGGGGTTAAGCGGAAGAAATATTTTTTAGACCTTCAAAAAAAAAAACTTGACAAGCAAAAAAAAAAAAAAAAAAAAAGGGAAATGTCCACTGTCCAAACACAAAAATCCTATATCGTGTGTGTGTGGTGGTGGTGGTGATGGTGAGGGGGGGGGGGGGGTCAAATTTCAGTGCCAATTTCTTTTTTTCAAAACACCACCACTTTCCACATTTAAAACCTATGCTGCATCGAGTCCATGGAAAGTGTGGGGGTGGGGGGGGGGGGGGCTAAACCTACGCAGTAATGTTCAATGTCTATACTAAGTCTAACTTTGGGAAAAAGTGGGGGCTAAGCCCCCCTCTCTCTGCGGTTCCGATCGACGCCTATGTATTTTCAAGTTTGGACAATTTCCTTGGTTTTTTGTTTGTTTTTTTTTTGTTTGTTTTTTTTTTTGCTTGTCAAGTTGTTTTCAGCGGATAGCTTGAATTTTCAAAAACGATGCTACGTCACTGTTCTCTCGCCTGAAAAAATATCACTCCACTAAAGTTATTTGTTGGATAATTGAATTCCCGCTTTACAGTTTAATTGACATAAAAATGTTAAATATTTTGATAATAGATGCCCCTTTATAAATTTATAAATTGAGTTGTTTTTCAGGACATTCACAGGCGTGGATCTAGGAATTGAAGTTAGAGGGGCGCCAAAAGAAGGCAAGGGGTCTGGAGGCCGCCTTGAGGCTCCAAGTAGGTCAAGGGCAAAGTCCTGGTGGGGGCTCAGGGGGCGAACCCCCGGAAGCCCCTGGGTTCTAGAGATTTTGTAGGGTAAAAATGAGGTCTACCAAGTAGGCATATTTACATTTTCTAGACGAAACTGTGATTTATGTTAACTTTGACAATTTTAGGGGGGTGGGGGGCGCCGGATGCGCCCCCTCCTTAAATCCGTCACCGGTTCCACTGAACTGAACTTTATTTCACGACAGATAGTAATTGCTCCTGCGTGTGATTCTAGGGACGGGGCTTTGCAAAGGAGTGAGGAGTGTTATTGGTAGGCAAAGTTGGAACCAGGCTACACCCCAGGCATACTAGAAACTCCCCAGTCTTTTTTTCATGCATTAATATTTTATATTGAAATAGCACTTTTTAATAAAGAAAAGAAATATCTTTTAGTACACACCGTATTATACATCAGCCAGGACTCAGGAGAGTTAAAAAAATCTTAAAACTTGAAAATTCTATATTTGATGGTGGTGGTGGTGGTGGTGGTGGGGGGTGGGGGGTCGTCAACTTTTTTTCAGTTCCAAATATAACTCATATGTACATATACCACTAAGTACATGACTACTTTAATATATGAATTGACTACATTGTATTAGCATGTGATTAGTACTGCAACAAAAAGTGTAAGGGATGGAGGCAACAAGCCTTTCGCTGAACTTTTCCAGTAGTAAAAAGTATGTTACGTTTAGGAAAATGTTTCGTGGCATCCTCCCCTCTACCGGTGAAACTTACCCCATAGGATGTCGTACAGACGGAAGTCAGTATATATAATTATATATTGAGACTTGGGGGTATGATTGTATAACGTCCCTTTAAATTGGAGAATTTTTAACTATAATGGAGAAGCCACCTCTTGCCGGTGGATAGCTGCAAATTTGTCCTAAATACTCGGCACTTATAGCCATTGTGCAGTGGGGGATCCACTGCGATACGGGACCTCGAATAATACGCTCTAGATCTCATCCGAAGGACCGAACTCCACGTCCCATAGTGGGATTCGAACCCACGACGTATTGATTGACTCCTTACTACTGTGTTTCGTGACCCTAGAGCAGACGCCGTAACCACAGTGCCACGCGGGCGATTGCACCCGAGTGGAGGGGCATCCGGGGGGGGATTCATTATCCATTTGTACTCGTGAAGATTATCTATGTTAAACTAAATGGTTAAAATGATTTAATTATTAACCACTATTAAATGGTTTCATTTAAACATTTATTCATGTAGGACGTATAAAACTGAAAACGTTAGCATATAACCTTGTTTTACGATTTAAAAAAAATATTCGGGGGAGGGGTTGCTATGAAGGGGGACGAATTGCTATATACAGCTAGATTCCCCACGGAAGAATAGCTATATATTGAAACTTCCCCGGAGGAAGTCTCACTGAATAGTCTTCCGAAGGAAGCATCACTATGTAGTCAGTCTTCCAGGGAAAATTAATCTTACCATTTTCCGAGGGAATGGCATTATCGGGTACATACCTGAACTTATAACAAACATCATTTGAAAATTTAAGTTCGATTGATAAGGTAATAAGGCAGAAAATTGAAAAATCTTTAATAACCCCGGTCCGGGTTTGCTTACCTATTTTTACCAACACTCGTGTAGCGAACACCCTGCCACCTAGCGTTATAATGCGGCACTAAATTCGGACAACTTACATTCGTCTTCATTGAATTTAGTGCCGCATTATAACGCTAGGCGGCATTGTTTACATGATTGAATTTACGTTCGTAATCGAGATAATCAAGATAGTTTATTTAAAAAACAGTATCAAATTAAAAGAAAGTAGAATGTATTCACAAGAATAAAGCAACATAGAAGTAAGGACAATATAAAGAACGATAAAAGCTCAAGTGTAATGTAATAAAGACGAATATGAAAACAATAAAGTGACATATAATTACAATAATAACAAAGCATAAAGAAGTAGGCAGAATAAGAATAAAAGCAAGATACATAGACTTTTGGCGGTAATTCCCTTCCATATGCTAAATAAATTACGATCTTTACAGAAGGAACATTATTGAATCTCCTAAATGTATTTGTGGTCAGAATGAGGATGTATATCATTTTTTCTTTGTTTGTAAAAGATATGTAGGAGCAAGAAATAATCTTTTTGACAAACTTTTTAGACTGGACGAATCGATTCTAATAGACACAGATCTGTTGTTATGGGGTACTGACACTCGATCTTATGATATGAACTGTCTTATATTTTCAGCAGTTCATAAATTTATCAATGAATCCACAGGTGCTTGAGGACAGGAACCCCCCCCCCCTCAATACAGACTCTCGGGCCTGTTAGACTTTTTTCACATAAATTATATATGGATGACACATTTGTGATATAATCTATCCTATCAATTGAGAAAATTTGCTTAAACTTACATTTTATAAAAATATCTACCCTCTCTATATATAAATTAACGTTGATTTTTATATAAGAGAATGTAGGGTAGATTTAATAGAACGTTTGTTTTATGTAATTTTTCGATTTGCTGGTATAGATCTTATCACAAATATGGCAATGAAAGATATTTTATAAGAAAAAAATCGAAAAAGCCCAGGGGTCTATATCGAAGGGGGGGGGGGGGGTCCTGTCCTCAAGCACCTGTGATACAAAGAACATAAATAATAACTAATAACTAATAACTAACTAATAACTAATAACTACCGAGGTATATCAATTACTTCAAATCTAGGAAAACTTTTCAACAGAATAATACATACTAGGCTACTTGAATTTGTAAACTCTGCATCACTGATAAGTGAAAACCAAATTGGTTTCAAGGAAAATTGTAGAACATCAGACCATTTATTCTCAATAAAAACAATAATTGACCACTACAAAAACAAAAAGGTTTATGCTGCTTTTATTGATCTTAGAAAAGCATTTGACACTGTATGGAGATTAGGTTTATTTTATAAACTTCTTGAATGTAATATTTCCCAAAAAATGTTCAATATTTTATTTTCAATGTATAGTAATACAATGAGTAGAATCAAATTTTCTGATGGATTAAGTGATGTATTCAATTCTGAGTGTGGTGTCAAACAAGGGGATGTCTTAAGCCCCACACTTTTTAATGTTTTTATTGATGGTATTGTCCATGACTTAAAAAATGGAAATTGTGATCCTGTACAAGTAAACAATATGCATGTAAATTGTCTGTTATATGCTGATGATATTGTAATCTTCTCAGAAAGCAAAAGCGGTTTACAAACCAGTCTTGATATTCTCAGTAACTATTGCTCAAATTGGAAACTCCAAGTTAATGTAGATAAATCTAAAGTTATGATATTTAATTCAAATGGCAAGCCTCAAGGAAATGAATTTAGTTTTAATGGTAATGCAATACAAATTGTACCAAGATACTGTTATTTAGGTATTATGATGAAATGTAATAGGAAGTTTAATTTAGCAACAGCTGTGCTTATTGAAAAGGCCAGAAAAGCATGTTTTAAAATGAAAAGAATTATTGGATTTGATAACCCATGTAAACTTTTAGAAAAACTCTTTGATGCTATTGTACTTCCAGTTCTTCTCTATTGTATAGTGAAATATGGGGAGTGGATCTCTCATCCAAAGATATTTCAAATGTTGAAAATTTTCACTTAAAATTCATTAAAGACATCCTTGGAGTGCACTGCAAAACATCCAATGCTGGTTGTTTAGCAGAACTTAAAAGACTACCACTTTGGTCCAAAATTTCCCTCTCAAGTATCAAATATTGGAATCACCTGAAAACTTCTGATTCTTTGGCCTTTAAACTTTACCAATCCACAATTAACTGTAATTCTTGGACTAAGAAATTATTTTCTATTCTTGATAATCTTGGATTCTCTAACATTACAAAATATACAGGTTCCATCCAACACCTTTTACCAAACATTAAACAAAGAATCATAGATCAGTGCACTCAAGAGCAAACATCAAAAATCTTTGGTTCAGAAAAACTTGATCTCTTCAAGAAAGTATACTCAGGAAAAAGAAGTCCTTATGGTGATTTACTCAAAAAAAGATCTGAGAGATCCTCTCTTAGTAAAATTAGACTAAGCGCACTTAAACTTGCAATAGAAAGTGGTAGATATATTTCCACATCAAGAAATGAAAGATATTGTAATGTTTGTAATACTGGTGTGATTGAGGATGAAATACATTTTCTTTTTCACTGTAATTCTTACTCTAAGCTAAGAAACGCATTCTTTAGTAATATTTATAACATAACAAAGAAAAATATTAATCTTAGCAATGAGAAATATATGCTACAATTATGTATAAACAGTAATATACAAAAAGTCTTGAAAGTTACTGTTAAATATATCAGAGACTGTTTTGATCTTAGAAGTCAATTACTTGACAATTCTTGAAAAAATATGTAAACATTATTTAATGTTGTTCAGTGGGCCTTTGCCAATTATTGTAATTGTGTTTGTGCCAATAAAGTATTTGTATTTGTATTTGTATTTATTTCTTCTACATGTTTTTAAGGAATGAGGTTCGAATTTAGAACTTACCGTTTGGATTAACCCCATTGGTTAACGATCAGCCTTTTTTCAAGCAGTTTGGTTATAAATACAGGACAGAGGCCAGGACAAGAATAAAGCATACTCTGTTAAAATTCCGGATCTATTTTTATCCGGATTCTAGCTAAGCCGAGGCGTTTGTCGAAAGATGGCAGGGAAGCTAAAAGTTCTCCTGGTCCTGGGGACCATTCGGGACGGACGACAGGGACTCAGGGTTGCCAAATTTATCAGGAGGAAATTAGAGGAAAGGAATTTCGACGTCACATTCTTTGGTATATTTTATTTCTTGTTGGTACGGTGTGTGTGTGTAGGGGGGGGGGGGGTATCATGCAGGTGAGCGTACATGTATGTGTACGACAACAATGAAATAGGGGCTATCACACAATCGCTATAAGTGCATATTAATAGTTTACAAGTAAAGTCGATGTCATTCTTAAAAACAATGAGTTTGAATTATTCCTATTTTATTCATTAATGAAGTATTTGTCCTATAATTTGAACCTGGTCTGTAAACAAAAACGCGATTATCGTTCTTGAAAATATTCATTTATGACAATAATATGAAAGAGAACATTTTTTTTAAAATATTTACATGTACTATATTTAGTATGAATATATTATAAACCCCTCTCTTCTGTAAACATTGCCGCTAAAAGATATTAAAAACATACATTTTTTAAAATCAAATTATGACATGTATGATACGAAAGTATTTTTTTTTTATTTTATTAGGCCTAAAAAAATCGACCCCAGATTTAAGTTCTTTAAAATGATTTAAAGAAACATCTTTAACCTAGTTTTTTTTCTATTTGTTAACTGTAACAAACTGAATCAAATTGCAAAGATTTTAGATTTAATTTTTTTCAGTTATTTGTTAACATTTTCAAAGAAAAAGAAAGAAACACTGATCAGTCTAGCTGCTAGTAATAAAATTATGTACGAAAAAATTATTTTGAAATTAGAAAAAAAGTCCATTAAGGATAAGGAAAGAAATTTAAAGTAAAAGTTCATATTTAAGTAATTGTATTATTTCTTTTTGTTTGTTTGTTCAAGATCCTTTGGAGATGAATTTCCCTATGATCACACAACCGGTACATTTTTATGGTCCGGAGAGAAAAGGAGCTCCAGAAATTCTGCTAGAAAACGAAAAGCACGTCAAGGAAGCAGACGCTTACGTCATAGTGTCGGCGGAGTACAATCACAATATCCCGCCGGCACTCACAAATTTACTTGACGCATTCCCCTGCAGCGCCTACTCATTTAAACCCAGTGGTCTTGTTACCTATTCCATGGGTAAGTAGTAACATTCAAAACCTGTTTACACGTAGTTTCCAGGGGGAAGCTTGAGGAACACAAATAAAAGAGAGGGTGTTTAAGACAGGCTTTAGGCGTTTTGCATTTTTATTTTGAGTGGAAGTTCCTAAAAGTTGAATTAAACTGTAAACATGTTAAATCATTTGAAAATCTTACTAACAGACATATTTTTCAGCAAGGGTCGTAGTGTCATGTTCTAAAATTTGAATTTTAATACCTAATAGAAGTAAAAAGTCATGTTCTATATATTTTCATCCGGTAAATTCATAATTTAGAACATGACAAAAAAGGGGGGGTGTAAAGCATACATGTAGTATCCGACACTGAACATGGCAATTTTCTTAATAAATCTACATGTATACCGATGTTTCTCGTTAAAAAAAACTGGACACATCACCTGACTGTTTAATAAACTAATTTGGACCTGACGTAATTAGAATAATCTAACTGTGTCTCGGGACAAGTCCTCACCAGGAACATTTATCATTTTAAGAGAGAACATTCTATAACTAATCCCGACGGTCACCATGTTAATAGCTCTATGTTCCCGTTTATGCTAATGTAATTGAACATTTTGTCTCGACTCAAAAAGTTATTTCCTGACTACAATGTACCTGCATGCAGAAGTGTCAGAATATGATCACGTTAATGAATCTAGTAGGTGGAGGAAAAATGAATGCAAAATTTACGGCATGATTTCTGTTTTTTGTGAGAGTGTTTTATTTGTTGCACATATGTAAGAGTTAAGTGTCAAACCTTTTTCCCTCCTCTTTTTTGCACTATTTTATTTATTGATTTTTGTTTTGTTTTTAAACAAAGTTTTTTAAATCAAAGTTTTTAAAACTTGTTTTTAACAAAAGTATTGTTTAAACCCCGCAATTGTACACTTCTTACTCACAAGATGGCATGTTCTAAATTTTATATTCATCCCGTGACGTCGAAGTCCATTTAAAATTTAGAACATGACTTCCAACTTATTGTAACTCAGTGGAAGAATGGTTTGGGATCAAATGTATCAAACATTTTTTTCTGGTATATTTCTAAGTATTTTATTTTTCTTTGTAGGTCAGTTTGGTGGAATGCGAGCTGCTATGGCTCTGCGAACACTGACAGGAGAACTAGGCTGTCTTAGTGTATCAAACATTTTTGGAATTCCTACGGTACAAAAAGCATTTGATGCCGAGGGTAACCCCCAAAATGACCATATGGAATCAGGAGCCAAGAAAATGTTGGACCAGTTAGAATGGATGGCTTGGGCAATGAAGAACCATAGGGACAAAGTTGGAGTGCCCAGTTAACAGACATCAATGTTTATACATGTATACTGAATCATGACATAATAGTTTTTTTGTGACTTTTTTTTTACTTTGAATTTACATGTAGATCTGATTTTCATAGATGTTTTGTTTATTCATTATACTTGCAAAATAAAAGTTTAACTTTTACATGTTTATCATATTATTTGTGAAACCTTTATCTCCCATAGAACTGGGGTCATCTATAATGGAAGACTTCTCAAGTGAAGAAATAAGATGTTTTACAGAGAGAGAGGAAAAAAACTTAATCAAACATCATTTATTCTATATAAAATCAAGACACTGCTTTTTACAAAGCTTAGGAAGTGGACAATTTATAATGATGAAAAAAAGTTTTAATAAGTATTAATAAATAACAAAGATGACAAAACACGCGAAAGCAAAGCTGCCACTATTGATATACAACTTGTACATGTATTTGGAAGACAGTATGATATTCTGGTTTATATATCCTACGGTTTATAGCTGAAGATTTTTTAAATTGACATATTTGTTGAGAAGGTATATGGCGTTATTGTTTCTGTCACAACTCTTAATTTCATTATTATCCTGTCAGTTTTTAATTCAAAATGAGACGATACTGTCTGATGTTTTACTGATTTCACTTGTGCATGTTATATAAGATAGCATACAATTTTACCTATTAGTGTGACGAATAATAATATCACAGGATGAATATGAAAACTGGCAGCTATTTAAAATAGCATTTCCTATATGAAAAGCTAGATATGTAACACGTCTCATAACACAGTGGAGTTTCTGTCTGCTCCTAGCTATCCATTGATGAATCAGGACACGCTCTGTCACATATTGCACACTCGTTCTGGGGATTTGGCACTGAGGTATGGTTACTATATTAGGTCATTCCTTTGGTTTGATCAGTCCATGCTCCACACAGATGTCCAGACAGGAGGAGGCACACTTCCTGACCACCTCCTTCTGAGGGTCCTCCAGTATAGATAGGGCCATCAGAACCTCCAACATCTGTCCCTCTATCACTTTCTCTGCCACCTCCTTACTGACGGACAACAGGTTCCTCACAACAAAACAGCCGCGGTGCTGGATTTCCACCTTCTCACTCACCAGAGTACTTAGTAGTATCTCCTGCCAAGGACCAACCTAAAATGTATCATAAGGCATAATTTAACAACTGTTTTATTAAAACTAATATTTGCAGCAATACAAAAAAATTTCACTGCATCAAATGGGAAGTATTTACCACTCTATCTGCTGCGTGTCTATTTTCCCAAAAATAAATTGAAAAAACTATGCCATATAATGCCTGTAGTGCAATTGTATCAATTTTTACTCTTTCTTGAACTATACTTCATGACTGAAGTATTTAATACTGTACCAATAGTCTTGACACTATAACTATGACCCTTTTCAAATTAATGGCAGTTTTCTATCATTCTACATGTACTTATGTATTGTTCATAACTATATCCTAAGTATAGTACTGGTACTAGTCACATATCTCTAAAGGCTTCCAATTGTATTTTTCCAAGATACATGTATACAATGTACGAGGGTTGATCAAAAAGTAATGCCACAGTGTACATATCTTTGGCTTCACATTATCAAATATAGTACATCAAAAGATGCACATAAATAAATCTAATTAAATTTGAATTTTCAATTTAATAATGTTTAATTGAATCTATTTCACAGATGTTCAAACATAGAACATAGGGGGTGTCACCACATCACAACCAAACATCACAAATTAAAATTACTTTTACCTGTAAGAGGTAGTTAAGTTTACAATGTATTTCATCTACATGTACCTGTAAGTGGTAATGAAGTCAGAATGCTTAAAATGCCTAATGTTGCATCACCATTATAATGTATATTATTATAAAAATATGACATTGACCTTATAACAAGTGACTCGAAAATCTATAGTTCCCCTATTTGAACCATAATAAGTATATAGACTGACTACGTACCTATATGTATATAATTATCATAACATCATTTTGAACACTTGACCTTGAAATAAACAAGTGATCCCATGAACTCCATGAGTCTCTCTTTCTTGATATTCCAGATACTCCTTGTGGTGATTATAATGTGAATTGAATTTATTGAGCCTCATTAAAGTGTTGACTGATGAATAGACAGATAGACAGCGACCACTGAACTCTGGTAACCATTTACCTCCATGATTTTCTTGCAGATCTTTTCACTGTGTGACAGCATGGCCAGGGCACCTGCTGCGGCCCTCACCACCAGTTCATCCTCATCCCCACAGTACAGCACCATTAACTTCAGACGGTCACTCTCACCCTCATAGATTTTAACAACCTGAAATACAGTATCATGTAAACATAATGTAAATTTAAACTTTTGCTTTATTTCAATAACTGTTGTGGATGACAATGTATAAATATATTCAAATACATATATTCCCAAGCAAATTTATTCAGCTTTATTTTGTTTATTTGATACATAAAGAGAACCAATAAAAATGGAAGTCATTTATAAAATAAAATTCTTTTTCTGAGAAGGAAGTCCTTCAAGACCCTCAACAGCACTCCCTCATCAGAATCTGGTGACACCTTGCTTAATTTATTAACTGGGTATACGAGTGATATATATCAAAGTTTATGACATGTTACACTGACCTCTTCGTTCATGACCATGTTACACATACATTCGGTGGCAGCTCTCTTTAACATTTCGTGGTCCTCTGTCATGTAGTGTTCTATGGCAGGCAGTCCATTCTCTGCTACTATCCTCTTTCTATAATAAATACAACACCATTCTTTATTTTTATCATTGTTATGGAGAGGTAATGGATACAGCTTGTTTTATCAGTAAAAGATCACTAAAAATTATTACTTTATGATTTTATTTAAAAAAGAATAAAATACCGGGTAACTTTTTTAAAATATTGAAAACATACCTAAGAGAATCATTCAGAGAGGTTAGATTTGTCAGAGCCATTAAAGCTTCAAAGTTCTGTAAAGCCATTCTGTCTGGGTGGAGCAAACTTATCAAAGGACGGACTACTTCAAAAATCTACAGTATACAAGATGTTATTTTAGATTAAGCCCAATTGTTATTTGATTGACATCACTTTCTTGACTTTAATTATTGTTACAGATTTGTTAAACTCGCTGACACTGAATAAATGGTCATTGTTATCTCACACTTAATAATGTGTACAATTGCAAAACTTGATATAGACATGAAGCGTTATTCTTTTTTTTAACTCCTTTGATATTAACAGAAGCATTAAATAGTGCCCACCCTCTGTCCAGGAAATGTGGTCTCCGGGTTAGCAGTGATGGTGATCCTAGCAAGCGACCAGGATGCCAGAATCTTTCCTGCATCTGTGTTATTTTTAGTGGCCAAATCAACCAAGGACTAGTTTAAAAGATAATAAACTTTTTAAATTTTGTATAGAATTTTAACATTAGTGTACAGACTAGAGGCAAATTCATTTTCTCAAGACACGTAGACAACTTCCTGACAACAAGATACATGTACCACATATTGAGGACTTACCTTGGCTCCACCTTGCTGTACAACTATTCCTCTCAGATCTTCTTCTACTGTGATGGCATTGTACACCCTGTCAAAAATTCATACGTGATTAAAAACAACATTGGAAAAAGACAGTGTTGTGAAAATGCATTCTGAACAGGAAGTAACATTACTGGTATACTGGGTAAGAAATAGCAATGAAGACTTGCACATCTAAAGAATCAACATCAATAGTTAACAAAAATTCTACCATAACATTACATGAGATACATTTTGCCAGCATACCTGGAAATTTGTTCCCTTGTATTGGGGCTGTCTGTGCTTGCTATGGCAACCAAGGCCGATACAACACCAGCTTTGGCCAAGTTATGGACCCTCTGTTTAACAAATTCTGGCTTGTCCTGTAGAAATCAGATTTGTGTGAAATGCAGATTATATTGTATATTTTGTAATCTTTATATCAAATTAGCAATATTACAGACTGTATAAATATAAATTGGATATTAATTTTCATAAGCAGTAACTTTACATCATAATCACTCTTACTAAATTTTTCTCACATTTCATTTTTCACCAGTTCTTAAATTTTTTGTAGGAATCACAACCCCCTAACAATGTATGAATGAATACTTTTTAATTCATGAATGAATGATGAGAAGAGAGAACCCTGGCTGATATATACACAGTTATCTCACCTTCTGATGCTCCTCGGGTACGTGTTGTTTGGAGTACTTAGCCAGCTCTATCATCTCTGGCTGAATGTCCGGTTTCTCATAACTGTTGGTGAGATTCACAAACACAGAGGCTGCTGGGTAGAGGATGTTCTTGTCAGCTTTCTGAGGAAAAAATTGCTATTCATGTATTCAGGGTATCTCTTCTTTTTTCCTCCTCATCAGATATCAGATATTATTTCAAAACAAACAAGATGTTAATTATGTTTTTAGATCTGCACCAAGTTTCTATGTGTCCTTTGTGAAAAAAAAAAAGTCAGGAACACAGTAAGTCACATAAAAAGAACTTACAGCGACAACATCAATGAGAGATTTAAGAGCAGCCGTGTCATTGATCAATTCCTCCTTAACCTCAGCATCCAGTGTTAAATAGGCCAGTCCCTCTGTACCCCAGCGCCGAAGGTCAACGCTCTTGTTTGGATCATTCAGAAATCTGTAAACGAAATGGGGCTCTCAATACATACAAACAAACAATTTATACACTCATATTTTTTAACATTTAAGGAATAACTTGGCATCTTTATTAATTTTTCTCAGTGCATCGAGACAGTAATAACCTACTTTCTACAAGCTTTGGCCAGCGCCAGGGTAGAGCCGTCTTGCATCGGTCTGTGACTGGCATCAGAGCCTCCAAATGAACCCAACTTACATAAACCCTGAAAAGTTCAAAGGTATTCAGCATAAGATACAAATAATAGCCAAATGAACCCAACTTACCACTACATAAACCCTGAAAAGTTCCAAGGTATTCAACATAAGATAGGCAAAATAGCCAATAGAACCCAACTTACATAAACCCTGAAAAGTTCAAAGGTACTCAGCATAAGATACAAATAATAGCCAAATGAACCCAACTTACATAAACCCTGAAAAGTTCAAAGGTATTCAACATAAGATAGACATAATAGCCAAATGAACCCAACCTACATAAACCCCAAAAAGTTCAAAGAAAAACAAAATAGTTAAAGAAACCCAACTTGCATAAACCCTGAAAAGGTCAAAGGTATCCAACATAAGATAAACATATCCCCCATGTCTTTATTCTAACATTAATTTGATCATATAAACAATTTATAATTATTTATACTGACCACAAGAGCTCGGACTTTCACAGCATCAGTTGATTCCTGATACAGTTTCTTTAACACTGGTACAGCATCATTCAGTAAGCCAGCACATTTGTCCTTTTTAGATGCTGAGTGGACAATGGCCTCCACAGCCACTTGCTGAAACAATGGTGTACCAAAATGTATTTCAGATTAAAAGTTAAACCATAATATAATAACTGACTCATTTTAAAAATGATAATTATTTCAATATTTAATAGATATATCAATATATGTAGTTCAGCTTTATTGCATCTGAGTTCTGAATATTAAAACCTTTAAAATATTGCAATTTAACTCTGAAAGAAATAAGAGTCTAAGTTTAATTTAATTAATTTGATCATATAAACAAAATTAATTAAAAATTAATAGGAATTTTAATTTAAAAATTTATATTAATTAATTTCAGTATTTAGCATTAATATACATTAAGAAGTTTGATATACCTTTTCCACATGTCCAAAACATTTCACTATTAGCTTTCATTTATTCAAATAACGATATAAAATGAAATTTTGACAGCTGTAAATTACGGATTCTGACCTATCCTTGGTTACTTACCTGATGCATTGGGTTGTCACTGTTGGCCAAGGTAAGCATGATCTGTGTGACTCCATCAAAACCTAGAATGATGTTCCCAACCTCATACGGACCCTGTGTACAGTATTGACTGTCAATAAGTTAACTACATACTCCTTATCTTGGAAAAATAATTACAACATGAACAAGGTTTTACTGTGATTACAACATGAACATAAATGTTTTGATGTGATTAATACAAAATCTTACTTGCAGAAGTGATGAGATACATTTAATGGCTTCTACTTTAGATTCAAAAAGAGAATCCCCAAACAAATCTCTGAAAGAAAAGGAATATATATCTGTAAAATTGAACAAAAATGACAAATTTTTCCAGATTTTACCGTGGACTTATATCAATGTTCTTGATGTTTTGAACAAATCAATTAACTTATTGATCCCAAAATCTTAATGTTTCTCCCTTTTATTACCCTCTACTAAACGTAATACCTAACTGGATGACATTTTATGAGGTAAAATACCATGACTGTGCTATAAATGAAGAATATTTTTCTATCCCCCCTACCCTTCTCCATTTACTATTTTCTCCATGAGAGACTAGATCACTGAAAATTATCCCAATCTTGTAAAAGATCTTAGCTATATCCTGCTTACTTGAAGAAGGCACTACACTGGTCCCTGAACATGTCCCTCTCCTTGTCACTGCCGAGGTCATTCGTATCTCTATAGTACAGGTTAGCTAATGGGCGGTTACGGAACACAATAGTCAATACCAAGGAATAAACCCAGCCACTGTGTGCTGATATAACACACCCTCAACACCTACAGAACATAATCTCTGTGTGCTGATATAACTCTATAGTACACAACAGGTCTCATGCTGTGTGGAATAACAGCAATACATACAGAACACAACAGTGAATACAATGGTGTGCTGATATAACAGACCCTCAACACCTACAGAACACAACAGTGAATACCCAGAAATTAACCCAGCCACTGTGTGCTGATATAACAGACCCTCAATACATACAGAACACAACAGTGAATACCCAGAAATTAACCCAGCCACTGTGTGCTGATATAACACACCCTCAATACATACAGAACACAACAGTGAATACCCAGAAATTAACCCAGCCACTGTGTGCTGATATAACAGACCCTCAATACACACAGAACACAACAGTGAATACCCAGAAATTAACCCAGCCAGTGTGTGCTGATATAACAGACCCTCAATACATACAGAACACAATAGTCAATACCCAGAAATTAACCCAGCCACTGTGTGCTGATATAACAGACCCTCAATACATACAGAACACAACAGTGAATACCCAGAAATTAACCCAGCCACTGTGTGCTGATATAACACACCCTCAACACCTACAGAACATAATAGTGAATACCCAGAAATTAACCCAGCCACTGTGTGCTGATATAACAGACCCTCAATACATACAGAACACAACAGTGAATACCCAGAAATTAACCCAGCCAGTGTGTGCTGATATAACAGACCCTCAATACATACAAAACACAATAGTCAATACCAAGGAATCAACCCAGCCAGTGTGTGCTGATATAACAGACCCTCAATACATACAAAACACAATAGTCAATACCAAGGAATCAACCCAGCCAGTGTGTGCTGATATAACAGACCCTCAATACATACAGAACACAATAGTCAATACCCAGAAATTAACCCAGCCAATATAACAGACCAATACATACAGAACACAACAGTAATACCCAGAAATTAACCCAGCCACTGTGTGCTGATATAACAGACCCTCAATACATACAGAACACAACAGTGAATACCCAGAAATTAACCCAGCCACTGTGTGCTGATATAACAGACCCTCAATACATACAGAACACAACAGTGAATACCCAGAAATTAACCCAGCCACTGTGTGCTGATATAACAGACCCTCAATACATACAGAACACAACAGTGAATACCCAGAAATTAACCCAGCCACTGTGTGCTGATATAACATGGCTAGGGCAGAAAACCCTGCAATTCATTATACTGACAAAAAGAGAGAGAATTCTGCAATCACAAAACATACATAATAATTTATATCAGAATAGTTTAAAGGCTTAGACATTTTTTTTTGTAAATTGCATAAAGTTTTTAACGAACTCATACGCTGATTGCAAACATGCAAAGTTGCATTTTTGGCTAAAATACAATTCAATGCTTCAAATTACATTTTGTAGAATTCCTGCAATTCATCTGTAGTATATGCACACATTACTTGACACACTGAACTCTTTTTAATAGGGAATCAAAATAAATGTACATTTTGCCAGATTCCTGTGCCTTACCATCTGTGTCTAGAAACTTTCTGGTCCACTGAACCCCGTCGGTGCGTAACATGTTTTTGATGATCAGCTCCATGGCAGAATCCCTTCCAAACCCGGAGACCTTGTTACTTTTTAACATCTTCACCAGGCCTTTAAACACACTGTCAATGAACTCGGTCTGCCGCTCATCTGAAGTCACAAAGTATAATCACTGAAGGGATGGATGTAAACACACACTAAACAGGGCTATATGATGGTTTTATATGTCTAATCCCAATGCATATACAACTGTATTCTAAAATTTTCTTATTACACGTGCTGTAATTTCTTCAGAATAGTAGACTTTTTATTGATTTATCCTCATGTATGAGTGAAAATCTGGATATCATTCTAAATTATTTCAATGTTTGTGGTATATTTTTGCTCAAACCTTCTAGGTGTTAAAAAACTTTACAAAAAATTTTTTTTTAATTTGGTTAACCATTATCTTGGAAATGATTTGACCTCCCATCTCTATGCCACTAAAAGACCCTCTGATTTTATGTACATGTAGGTACATCGTTTGCCATCGTCAGATGATTATGTGCTAGATCAGGTGCTAGTCGAAATGCCTAAATAATTATATTAGTACATGGATCTGCATTAGACCCATGCCTATTTTTACCTACTGAAGATACATACCCATTTCAAACTTGGGATATCTGCATGGATTTCCTTGCTTGCGCTCGTCTTTGTAATGCTGTAGTTGTTTTCTATACTCTGGCAGGCCAGAGATGTTAGTTATCAGGTTCTGGACCAATAAAGCTGTAGATGTACACAGTCCCTCATCCTTCACTGACATAAACGCCAACATTTTCTGAAGTCCCATTTTTTCTTGCACCAGGTAACTCTAAGGAAAATGTATATTAAAATTCTTGATTCAGGCAATGAGCAGGTCTGTTGATGCTACCTCTTTTTGACATAAGATATTGTATTGTTAAAACAATTAATATCCTAAACATGCCAAATTGGAGAGATTTTTTTTACAATTTGCTAACAATTAATCGCCCCTGTGGTGCAGTAGTCAGAGCGTTTGCTCTAGAGTCTTGGAATAAGAACATGATCCTTACGTCATCGTCAGACTTGATAAGACACCTAATGGCTGCCTGTCAGTCTGGATTTCTTACCCTTTCTTGACTATCCACTGTCAGACATGAGAGACACCTAATGGCTGCCTGTCAGTCTGGATTTCTTACCCTTTCTTGGCTATCCATTGTCAGACATGAGAGACACCTAATGGCTGCCTGGTTGAATTCTACATCCTTCTCCTGTAGAAGCTTTAGGAGGTTGTCTATACCAGACATCTCACAGATAACTTTAGCCCCAGCTTCCTCTCGAGCCAACACTATCAGATTGTTGCAAGCCTTGAATGAAAACAACATTATGAAAACTGAGCACAGGATTCATTAACTATATATATAATCTCGCATCTGTTTAAATGATACAAAAGAAAATTGAAATACATTTGAATTACTTATAATTAAACATTAAGCAATATTATAAGAATAAACCTCTCCAGTGACTTAAGTCACTACTGACTTAAGCAAGTTATCTCCGTTTGTTGTCTGTTTGAGCATGTCCTTACATGTTTGAATCTGGTCAATAAACATACCTGTAATCTTTGTTCTTTATCTGTTTTGGAGTTTGTTACCAACTCAAACATTTGCTTAACTTTGGCTGATGTGCTGTTCTGTTGCTTAACCTGTGCATAATAAAATTTTTGAATGTGAAAAAAATTACTTTTTTTTTTAAAATCATAATTCTTAAAAAATCAATTTTATTTTTCTTTCAAAAATGCAAAAAATTAGGTTATCCTAGAGTTACTGAGCACTACGCTAAAAAAATGAAATCCCTTGCTCCTATATAAGCATATTGTTAAAATCCAAATAAAGCTATGAGAAAGCCTAAACATACATGAATGTCCAATTGCAACAGAGATTCTGAGAAAGTCTAATTAAGATTTATTGTGTGGCAAAGGAGGAGTTGCAGGTAAAAAATGGGTGCTCCAATCTGATTAAAATCAGATCTTTGTCACGCTCCGAAATTCTGATGATTGGAGCCTAACAAAGATCTGATTTTAATCAGACTGTGGGTACCCCCCTTATATTCTAGAAAGAATTGCAATCAGGAATGTATGTGTTTAGCATAGCTGGCAAACCCAAAATATATGTCTGATGAAAACATAAAATAGGAAATGCATAATGACAGTAAAATACAGAGATTCTATGAAAGTATAATAAATTTTTATTCAGTGGTATATGAGGAGATGCGGATAAGAGATGGGTACCCTAAAGAGTAAAAGATGGACTGACATACAGATTTGCATCAATGAAAATTTTGTGAGTCTTTCTTATGCCTGACCTTTTCTTGTATGATGGGGTTTAGTCTCTTGAGGATCGGTTGGACGGCTGTGTTTTTGGGATCTGCTTTAATTAAGGCAGCTGCATCCTTGTATGCCTCTTCCACTTTCTCAAGCTGTTCATAGGCCTGGCATCTCCTGTACAATGCCTTTGGATCATTGGGTGTTACTTCCAATGCTGTATGATATTTACATATTATTATTAAATAAAATCCTGTGAATTTGAGACAAACATTCATTTTGTATTTATGAAGCACATTTATTAATCAACTGATTCTTACTTGCAGTTCTGTAGTTGAAATTTAATTATTTTATAATTTTGGTGCAAGTGTTTACAAATAAAGCTTTGGTTTTGGCTTCCTTTCTTCTTTACAGATTTCTTATTCTGTCAGTGGGCCAATCACTCCAACACATTTGTGTTCATGTGATCATTTTTAACAATGATTATAATACATTATAATTAATGTGCTATGGTAATCTTTCTTATAAAAAATTATGTACTTTTACAGAGAAAATTTTCATATTAATAATCTTTTTTTAAGGCAAGGAATAGACAACCATTAAGTCAAAGAGATAAATAGCTGACCTGCCGTACAGTCATTGATGACTGCCTGGTAGTCCTCTTCCTTTAAATAACAGGCAGCCCTGTTCTTCAGAATCACTGCCTTCTCTCCATCTTTGATGTCAATAACTCCTAGAGCCCGCGTGTAGGCATCCAGTGCTTCAGCTATTTTCCCCTCTTTGAAAAATTTATTCCCTTCTTCTTTTAGGGCATTAGCATCTGCCACCTTGAAAAACAGTTGTTCTTGAATCAACAAATAGTTAATATTCTGCTACTCTGCATTTATACTGACAAATATCCCAAAGACAATAAAACATTAACTAAAAATGAACTTTTCAGCCATAATGATAGATGCTACGTACATTATAAGTAAAGACAATTGAACAGTTAGAACTTTATGATGTTTTTTACCCTTATTCAATTTTGAGAACAGCATGCAACTTTGGATAAACATAACACTATGAATAGTACATGTACTGAGACTTTAATGCCTTAACAAAATACTCTCTCAGAACAACTGCTTGTTGTACATGTATATGTCATAACTAACTACCGGTACTCAATATTTTTACAGAGAATCCCAAAAGCACTGGTCCGTCGGACAAAACAGGTGAAAATCTTATTGGTCTGATGCACTAACTAGTAAAATCGGTCCAATTGTCCAAGGTTTGTTTTGGTTGTGCTTTAAATTTTATATTTTCTATATCATCATATAGACGCTTTAACTAATACCAAAACACATTATTTAAAACATTTTGTCGATCGTGATTGTTTTAAAACCTACTTCCGCCACAATGTTTCTAAAATAGTTCGATAGGACAGTACCAGGAAAGAAAAAAGAAACATTTCAGTTATGTTTTAATGTGTTATTTGTTTATTGATTCATATGATCTAAAGAAACATCGTTATGATGATCAGATCATATTATGATCAAAGTTTTGGACCAGTGAAAACTTGTTTGGTCCTGTGAAATTGTTTTTATTGTCTGTCCGAATGTCCTGTAAGGATTTTTCTTTTTTGCAAAGACTGTTTTTACCCAATTTCAGACTAGTTTCAATTGTTACAAATCTTTCATCTTCACAAATATCTTGCCTGTGGTATTGTGGTATCTTTCATTTGTACCTCCATGGTAGATACGATAAATATTCTTTCATATTACAATATAACTTAATAAAATGTTGACAGTGTTACCGTTAGGGCAAGCACAGAAACTTATTCAGTTTAAATTAAGATTGGGCTCATCAAATCGCAAGTGCCATTTACTAAGCATAGACTCTGACTACACATGAACTTGTATGTATTATTATATTGCAATACCAAAATCGTAGAACAGTGCAAATTTTAATTTAAAAAAAACTTTTGATCTACTATTGTATTCATAGGCGTCGGAACGGGGGGGCTGGGAGGGGGGCTTAGCCCCACTTTTTGCAAAGATAGACATAATATACGGGCACTGAACACTGGGGCATAGGTTTAACCCCCCCTTTCAACAGACATGCTGCTGTATGCCTGTAATCGAACAAGAGTAAGTGGTAAATGTAATGTTTGAAAAAAAATGTTCTGTAAGAAGTTCAATCCTAGTGTAAGCCATAAAACTTACATGTACTGATGTAGCTAACCTGTAAATCAAGAGATTGGGTTGGGCCACTTGCATACAGTACCTCTGTTCGAAGATGGCCTCATAATGATTATCCTATATGTGCCGATTGCGTTTTACACAGAAGTGTTTTATATGGATATTTTATGGATATTTCTGCTTCAGAAATCTGAACATAAAGGCCTATACACAAGAAATGCTGAAATTCACTTACCTCTGTGATGGTCGGCATGTTTTTCTTGTACGAGGAAGTCCACACTTTTTCTATCTTCAAAATAAAAGAGTTCGAAATATCTTGTTTCAGGGTTACTTTGATATATATCAAATTCTACAGTTCTTCTGCCATGAGCACGTATAGTGTATGTTTTCCTCGTAATGAATAAACTACGTATGTTTAATTTTTCAAAGATTCCAACAGAGAAAGTCCTAGAACAAAGGGGGATCACGCCATCTGGATTTACCGTATTCGGTAATGAGGCAATGCTCAGTAACAGCATCTGGTCACCGCAGGAGGGCGAAACTTCCAGACTGACATGCAGTGAATGTTCCAGAAAATTTGTGTCCTCTTTTACTATGTTAAAATGCGTTCGCCTACAACTAATTAAATGAGAGTTATTCCCTTCTAATGAAGCCTTCATTTTCTTAAAAAAGTGTAATTTAAAAAATATATATCAGGCACGTAGCAACAGGGGGGCCAGTATAAAAGTTGGTACTGAAAGTTGGCCTCCCCCCCCCCCCCCCGAAATAGGATTTTCGACTTTGGGCAAATTTTTCCTTTTTTTTTTTTTGGCTTGTCAAGTTTTTCAGGTAAGAAAATTTTTTTTCTTTGCCTGGCCCTCCCCACTTTCAAAAACGATGCTACGTGCCTGTATACAAATAAGATATTGATAAAAATGTTAAAAGGTAGGTTTCTGCATGTTCAGTAATTAAAGATAGAATTAATCCATTCTTTTGAAACAGTTCAGAATTAATAGATTAAAAAATTTACTTGCTGTTTCCACGTCTTCCTTTCTTTTTTTTTTTTGGGGGGGGGGGGGGCTATTGTACATATAAATGAAAAGAACTTGTATTTTGATATATTGAATACATTTTATTAAATAAAGCAAAGGGATTGGCAAGATGTTTGAACACGGTTCCTTTCTTAAATCAGAAACACTGTAAATTATAACAATAATTAATTCAGAGAAGTGTACGTGTACTCAATTTAGAGAAAAAATGTAAGTACTACACGAGTAAGTTTATTTTCTATTTTAATATATATATATATATCGTTATTTGAATTATTATACCTCTTTTAAAATTATCATTTAATATTATCATCACATCGATATTAATTATCATGAATCAATAACAATATTTAGATGTGTATATAACGATTGTTTCTGATTTGCTACTGATGTTCATGTACGGTTGTATGTTATGGCTATTTATGTCCGATTTTGTTATGGGGATCACAGGTGCTTGTGGACACCCCCCCCTCCGAATATACATCCCGTGTCCGTTTTATTAGAAAATCATACCCGCGTATATACCGATATGTATAAAGTTAACAAGCGATTTAAGGACATACGCAACATACTTTATGCCGTGCAACTGTTCAAGATATTTTAATTTTAAAAAAATAGCATGCGTTTTCAGGGGGTTTGAACAGATATCAAATTATAGAAATTCTTGCACTATTCAAAGTAAAACTGTACGAAAATTACTAAACTTAAATTCCAGATTCTTTTTAATCCAAATTAGTTTTAGAAGAGATGTACAATACCATATATAGACATTAAAAGTATTGCACACAGGTCATTCATGTAGTGGAACTCTTCAACTCCAGGGAAGAAGCCATTAAAGTTCTTTAATATACAATCCTATTGATGATGTTGCGTCTCTATATATATCATAGGTATACTAGCCGATGTATTAAGACAGATGATACAAACACATTTTTTTCTTTGGAGGAGACTTAATATCATGTCGCAGGTTTAGAAAAGAGGATAATGTAATTCCTTGAATTTTTTTCTCATAAGACTTGGAAAATGAAATAGACTCGGAAATAATTCGTTAATACTTCAAAAAAATAACAAATATGGACAAATCACACTCAGTAAAGGTTAACAGATAAAAACAAATTTCAGAATATGTTAGCTTAATCGGTGCTTATATAAAGTGTAATATGAACTTTAGAAAGATATACTAACCCAGGTAAATTTTATGAGGAAAAACAAAATGATAAAAAATCAGAAAAATCAAATAGGCTAATTTTTACCATGATATTCTGAAGTATAAGAAACAAAATATACAACTGCACTCGTGAATTTACTTATTTTATAGTACAAGACGTTGTTGTAATGTGTTTCAGAAAAAAATAACTCTACCGAGAAAATAATTACCTTCATATTGAGGGATTAATTTGAAATATTTTTGGAAAGAATAGGAACTTATTTGAAGGGGAATGATTATATGTGTTTCTCCCTCTCCAAAATGAACTAGATTTATAATTAGAACTACAACTTATTTATGTGGATTGAATATAGCCTGGCTGAAATATCGCCGACTCGGCTTTAACATCATCCAATCAATCAAATATAGAACTCCAAATCATGAAATTTATAATATCATCAATGTCGCTAACTGTCAATAGAGTAACATGATACAAACAAGTCTCTGATGAGACTGTAACTCTAGTGGTCTGCAAGTGTAACAAAGGAAAAGTAGCACTTGGATTTGAAACTTTGCAACAGGCAGCAATTAATAAAATTATGTATCTTGATGTAGTTTACTTGTGTGCCAAATTGTATTGAAATCAGACCAAAATTGTAAGAGAGGTAGCGTTGTAAAGGAATTTTGACAAAAATTTCTATTTTTAGTAACCATGGCAACACCATTCTTCGAAATCAAAAACTGATAAACTAAATTATGTATCTTAGTGTAGTCTACTTGCGTGCCAAGTAATATTAAAATCAGACCAAAATTGTAGGAGGTGTAGAGTTTTAAAGGAATTTCATAAAATTTCTATTTTTAGTAACCATGACAACACTGTTTATCGAAATCAAAAACCGATGCACTTAATTGTGTATTTTAGTGTAGTCTACTAGTGTGCCTAGTTATATTGAAATCAGACCAAAACTGTAGCGTTTTAAAGGAATTCACAAAATTTTCTATTTTTAGTAACCATGGCAACACCGTTCACTGAAACCAAAAACCAATGCACTAAATTATGTATCTTAGTGTAGTCTACTTGCGTGCCAAGTAATATTAAAATCAGACCAAAATTGTAGGAGGTGTAGAGTTTTAAAGGAATGTCATAAAATTTCTATTTTTAGTAACCATGACAACACTGTTTATCGAAATCAAAAACCGATGCACTTAATTGTGTATTTTAGTGTAGTCTACTAGTGTGCCTAGTTATATTGAAATCAGACCAAAACTGTAGCGTTTTAAAGGAATTCACAAAATTTTCTATTTTTAGTAACCATGGCAACACCGTTCACTGAAACCAAAAACCAATGCACTAAATTATGTATCTTAGTGTTGTCTACTTGTGTGCCAAGTTATATTGAAATCAGACCAAAACTGTTGGAGGAGTAGCATTTTGAAAAATTGTTTACAGACAGACGGACAGCTAGACAGACGACGGACACCGTGCTATCGCATAAGCTCTTCTGGTCTCTGACCAGTATAGCTAAAAAAAACAAGATGTGTTTGCGAAACACTGATGCCCCCGTATGGCAACATAGCGAAGATTAAGCTTTTCATAAATGCAAATTTAGTATATTGGTACTCATAGTAGGGAATTCTCACAATTGTGAAAAAATATGAAAGTAGGCCAAGGTCAATGTTTTTTTTTATAGGTACAGAAATCTCCAAGGTCAAGGTAATTGATATCCAAAGAAAGGTCTTGCCACTAAGAATACATAGTGGAGCTATGACTTTCTTATTTTACATGTGTATTTCTTGCGACAAGACCTTTCTTTGGGTACCACCAAATTTGAGCTTTTGACCTTGACATTGGAGGTTTTCGTACTTACGAGAAAACTTTAACCTTGGTCATATCTTTTGAACGGTAAGGGGTAGGGCTTTTATACTTCACATATGTAATTCTTGTAAGAAGACCTTTCATTGGATATCAACAACTTTGATCCTTTGAACTTTACCTTGGAGTTTCGCCTTCTTATTACAAAATTTAACCCTGGCCATAACTTTTGAATTGTAAGGGCTCGAGCTTTCATACTTCACATACGTAATCCTTGTGTCAAGACTTTTCATTGAATATCAACAAGTTTGACCCTTTGACCTTGACCTTGGAGTTTGATCTACTTTTTACAAACTTTAGCCTTGGCCATAACTTTTGAACAGTAAGGGCCAGTGCTTTCATACTTTACATATGTAATCTTTGAGACAAGGCCTTTCTTTAGAAACCAACAACCTTGACCCTTTGACCTTGACCCCGGAGTTTGTCCTAAATTTAAAAACGTTAACCTTTGTCATAACCTTTCAACGGGAGGTGCTAGGGTTTTATATTTCACATTTGTATTTTCTTGTAAAAATGCCATACTTTAGGTACCAACATATTTGATCTGCAATAGAGAAAGCTTAACCTTCGCTTTGTTGCCATACGGGGGCATCAGTGTTTCACAAACACATCTTGTTTACCATATTTTCCCTCTTGTAATCTCTATTGTGGCCTCGTCCTAACCCCCCCCCCCTCGGAGTCACAATTTTAACAAGCAAATTCAAAGAATTGTGGTCCCCGGCTTTCAGTGTCTTTAAGGGTGAGATGTCATTTTTTATGACATATTGTCTCAAATATGAACTCTCTATCAGAAATTATCACTGAAGTTGACTTTTCAAAAAAAGGTCAATCATGAAGGTCAAGGTCCAAGGGTCAGAAATCATAGCATGCTCGGAAACACAGTTAATGCACATTTCAAATATGAAAGCCATATCTCTTCTCAATATAAGGAACAAGATGAGTTTGTGAAACATTGATGACCCTGTATGGCAACATAGCGAACATTAAACTTTTCTTAAATGCAATTTCTATGTATTATTACCCAAAGTAGGGTCTTCTAACAAGAAATACGATTGTGAAATAAGAAATCCCTAGCACCACTTGTTCAAAAGCTATGGCCAACGATAAATTTTTGAAAGGTAGGTCAAACTCCAAGGTCAAAGGGTCTGAGTTGTTGGTTTCTTAAGAAAGGTCTTGTCACAAGTAATTCATATGTGAAGGATGGAAACCCAAACCCTAACAGTTGAAAAGTTATGGCTACGGTTAAAGTTTTTAAAAAAAGACATTAAGTTGGTCAAACTCCAAGGTCAAGGTCATTCTTGATAAAATGAAAGATCCTGTCACAAGGATTTAATATGTGAAACATAAAAGCCTTAGCACTAACCCTTTAAAAGTTATGGTCAAGGTTTTTTAAAAGTAGGTTAAACCCCAAGGTCAAAGGG